TTTTGGGGCTTGATGACCCTTCTCTGCCCTGACTTGGGTCTAATCCGAAACAACACATCTCTTCAATTTTCACGCCCAAGTTCAGTACACCGGCTTTGAGATTACACGACACCTTGCCCTGGTCAAATACTGTTCCGTTTCCCTTGCAGACCCACCAGATATCCTTGGCTGGGTGTCCGCAATGCACCGCCAAACGAGTTTCACAGACGCTTCCGTTTGCGCTATTACTTACATATTGTACAAGCCAGCTGCGCCCTCCTCAGAACTGGCCATTCGAGTATTTCACACCAGACGCTTTTTCCTGGTCCTGAGAAGTAGGCTGCGTCACCAAGTATTGAGACCCATGGCCAGGAACCAGACGGTTTCCCTTTCTCGCCAAGTTGACTGTAAAGGCCGGCGTCTTGCTGCATGGCCCGGCCCGCTTCTCGCGCCACGTCGTTTAACTTTTAAATCCATCATAATTGAACAAACTACGCCGAGTAGTGTTTCGTCATGGCACATGCACCCGATTTAGACTTTCACAAACGACGTCCGGATCCCCAAGAGGCTGGTGCTCAGCAAGGAGATCACCCTGCACGAACACCACCCGTCAGATCAGGTGTATTCAATCAACTGGGTAAGCATGTGCGTTTGCACGACATAATCACCCTAATCGTTCGGCTTTGTGATCTTCAGAATATAGCCTCGCGGGTAGTTTCCAATCTTGGAGGGTGGGAGCTGCTGATGTACCACCTACCTCCTCTTGACATTTGATGCTTCGTCCCATCATCACCAGTTCTTGAGCTGACAAATTTGGAAAACCCCAGGAGGACCCTACATCAATTATGTACCACGGGCAAATGCTGAGCGTCTGAGCCTTATCGAGGGGGATCATGACACCTTTTCTCATATTGTTAGCTTAATCGGAGAATACGAAGGTACGCTCTGCATGGATTGTACACGCTCTCCTATCAACTTGCCACCATTGACATATAACTGTGTATAGGTGTTTTGGATCGACACGAGAGTCTGGCGGCAAACTTGGGGGCAAAGCTAACTGGACCACGACTACTCAAAGGTATCGAGAAGTTCTTTGATGGGCCCATCAAGACAAGTTCCTCACAGCCCGTCTCGGCACCTATAAGCTGGCTTGACGTGGTTGCTTTTGCAAAGGCTAGCCCAGGCGAATTTGGCCTCACAACAATGCCTGACGGCAGCCGTTGCTGTCGTTTCACCTATAACGGCGTCCATGTTGAAATCACTGAGGACGATTGGAGACTGATATCGTCTGGAGCCCTAGACCGCTTCCCACTTGAACACCCCTTCGAAGAAGATGAAACTGCCGAGTTGGCGACGGTGGATATATTGGAACAACGAGCTTCAATTCTTTACAAGAAGGCGGACGAAGTAGCTGCTCGGGCCCGCATCCTTCATCACAGGCTTGGCCACAGGAAGAATGACCTGTGTCGTAGACGAAGCCAAGACAATGGAGGCCCAAGACACCAACCTACCCATGCTCCTGGACGGCAGCACAGTTTCAGCCCCTCATACGACTTGCATGCAGACCTGCTACAGCAATTTTTGACAACGCCTTCGTCCAATACAAAGCCACAGTCTGCCTCTGGCGCTGGATTCTCAGCGATCAACCTTGGCCCGTCGTCGCCATCTATTCATTCGCCACATCATCACCAGCAACGCCTATCCATACAGTCTTTGCGTTCCCCCGGAGGAACTCCGCTGGACAATCAGATGATGAATACGGCCGAAAGCAGAGGAGAAATCTTGCGGTCACTGATTTGTCAAAGCACTGATCGACTTTCGAAAGGCGACGTCATAAACCCTCCCTGTGACCGGTGCCGCCGCCTGCGATTGCTCTGTATCAAGCATCTCACAGCCTGTCAGGGATGCACTAAGAAGCACGCCAAGTGTAGCTGGAAATCAGTTACGGATGACGAAGCAGCGAGAGTTAAATATGAATTGGGGACTGAGGCGGAGGCGATGGCGGATAGTGACAATGATGCTCTGGGCCCGAGAGACACTCGACATTCCCGACCGCCCCTGGAATCTCGGAGTAGTATACTTAGCTCTGAGGGCACACCTAGACCGGGAAGTCGAGCCGATCCTGACATAAGCATACCAATACTTCACAGCCCAGACTCTATTTCAGTGGCACGACACCAGACACCAGACCAAAGGGCGCCAAGTCTGGCAACTGGGCTGGGGGGAATACCTCGTACAAGGGAGCCGATTCACCCTTGGCATTTTGGGCATATGCCTGGCGAGATGGATGCAATACGACGTGGACATGACCCATCTAATCCGCCGTCGAGATGACAACCAAAGCCATTTTTTTTTCTTTTCGATATTGACGACATACGAACGGCGGCAGGATACGACGATGCAAGGAAGCTCATGCGCGTAATGAAAATATATGAAGCATGAAGTGTACGATTCAGAGACAACAGGTGCGGGACAGATGCCTCACTATTGTATACAGAGGATTTCGAAGTGTAAATTTTATTTTTCTCTGAAATAATGTGTATTAGTCAGACTCAATTAGCCCTATGCGACTAAAGATTCCTAAACGGCTACTCAGAATTATAAAAGTATTCGCCGTCGTAGACTGATTTACTGCGCAACTAGGCCACTACAAGTTACTTCAAAGTTCAGACAGGCGGGCCGTCAGGTCCTATGACAGGAGAGGGGATGAACGTGGAGGTTTAATAAGAAGACGTAGTTGCTTGCGTCTTTTGAAACTTTTCGCCTGAACAACTCATTGCGATGTTATACTCGTGCAACCGTGTGTGACAAGGATATAGCAAGATGCTGTCCTACGGAGTACATGTGAATCATGATTATGTTCAGAGAGTCGACGGAGCACTTGAGAGACGCGGGCGGACAGAATTGGTCCGCATTTCGTGATTGATTAGGACCGGTCTGCGGACCTACATGTGCGAAGCACTCACCATGTACCGGCTGGATACTTGCAAAGTTGGGCTCATTTCCACTAGAAAGGTTTGTAGCTGCCACGTTACTTTTTGTCACTTTCAGTCTCTGTGGCCGCTCTGGTCAACTTGACTCCACACATGCCCACATTAGTGAATTACTTGGAACTTTGACACAGCGCAAAAAAAGTTGGAGCCTCATTTGAACGCCTCCTTGTTGTCGCGACAGATTCCTCTCCTTCTCTGACGACTCAAAACCACCAATCCGTTCATATCGACGCAGACATACCTCACACCTCACCACAGAGAATATAGACAACAAAGCGTCAACTCATATTGAAGAATACACTTACGATGGCCCAACGGCAGCCTGCCGCATTCGCGGTAGGCCACGACGACCGAAAACCTTTCCAACACTCACATGTCCCTGCCGAGCATGCGGCGCTTATCCAGTCCAGGGAAACGGGGGATGTGATCCCCGACGATGTGCCAACGGGCAAGGTCAAGGCTTTGCCGTTTGCAAAGTCGTGGGTGCACATGATGGCAGGAGGGTTCGTCTGCTCTCTACCTACTCCTCGTCGGCGACAGACCTTTTACTAATAATGGCTTGACTGTAGTGTTGGGGGAATGACCGCTGCGACCATCACTGCGCCTCTTGACGTGCTCAAGACCAGATTACAATCCGACATTTACCAGGCGCAACTCCGAGCGGCTAGAATGGCTAAGGGACAGGCCTTGGCGGGATTGAATCCGGCCAGAGCCGCCCTATATCATCTTACTGACACCCTGAACATTCTTGGCTCAGTATATCGTACTGAGGGCTCCAGAGCTCTCTTTAAAGGTCTAGGCCCCAATCTGGTGGGCATTGTGCCCGCAAGGAGCATAAACTTTTTTGTCTATGGCAACGGCAAGCGAATCATCTCCGAGTACTGGAATCGTGGCGAGGAGGCTCCTTGGGTGCATCTTTTAGCTGGCGTGGCAGCCGGTGTAGCGACGTCAACAGCGACAAATCCCATCTGGATGGTCAAGACCCGATTGCAACTTGACAAGAACGTTTCGGAGCGCAGCCGTGGCGTCATGCGGCGACAGTACCGCAATAGTTACGACTGCGTGCGACAGATCATTCGCGACGAAGGCATTCGCGGCCTGTACAAGGGAATGAGCGCAAGCTACTTGGGGGTGGCCGAGTCTACGTTGCAGTGGATGTTGTACGAGCAGATGAAGGCATCGTTGGCCAGGCGAGAGGAGCGCATCCAGCGCAGCGGGAGGGAAAAGACTTGGTGGGATAACTCGGTGGATTGGACCGGCAAGGCTGGTGCCGCTGGCGGCGCAAAACTAATTGCCGCTATTTTGGCATATCCTCACGAGGTACCGTGTTACGTTGACGGTGTTGGGTGATGCCGAGCAGCGTTGCTGACAATGATTTTCAGGTCGCCCGAACCCGACTCCGACAGGCCCCGATGGACAATGGCCTTCCGAAATACACCGGTTTGATCCAGTGCTTCAAGCTTGTATGGAAGGAAGAGGGCATGATTGGTCTGTACGGTGGTCTCACGCCTCATCTGATGCGAACGGTTCCTAGTGCTGCCATCATGTTTGGCATGTATGAAGGCATCCTCCGACTTTTGAATACCCCTGCATAGACGAACGACGATTTACACGGCCGTGATCCCCACCGCTTCAGCAAAAAGCAGTACTGGACGCATGTCTTGACCCCCCTTTTCTTGCGAAAGAGCCCATACCTCTTGTGACGACATCCGTGGATCTCTGCTCATCTTGTTGCAACGCTAGATGCCGCGCGCAAGTGTATGTTATTTTTTTTGCCCCTTAATTTTCAGACCTTGGCATACTCCGTCTTGTACAATACCTACAATAATGCCGCTCAATACAAGCGACATATCAGATAGACATTTGGGAATTGGGAAACGCTCATGGATAGTGAGCAATGGCGTTTTGGGTTTTGGGGGATAACTATATTACAACAGGCCACATTTCTGCATGAAAATCCACATGCTTCCGCCGTGTATGTGTGTGTCCATGTATAACTCATGTCGCCGTCGACATCGTATGCCTCATCTAGAAAATCACCTTTGGCCCCCAACCAGCAGCAACCCCTCTCGCCCAATACAACGTGGCCGCAGAAGCGGCGTATATCGCTCCCGAAAAGACCATGATGCCGCAATACGAACCGCCACTCGCCTTGATTATACCACCAGCGACGGGGGCGCCGACCAGGACGCCGACACTGGCAACCAGATACGTCGTCCCGCTCCGCTTTCCATAATCCTCAATCCGGCACACCCTGCTCACGCACACGGGTGTAAGTGCAATCGTGGCACCGGACCAGAACCCAAACAGGACCGTGAACGAAATCACAGCCATCCGACCACCCGCGGCGGCGTACCACAATGAAAATATAATGGTTGCGCAGGCGGCCGCCGTCACCGAGAAGCTGTTGAAGGCCCCAAAGCGATCGGCCACGAAGCCTGGCAGGGCCCTGCCCGGAATCGCCCCCACGTTGAGCAGCGAGTTCATCAAGAGCGCCGTGTGCGCCTCGAACCCGACGTGCAGCGCGTACGAAGAGATGTACGTGTACGGGATGAAGACGGCCAGCTCGGCGAGGAAGATGGCCAGCGTGGCCAGGGCGTACCTGAGGTCGAGCAGCGCGCCAAAGTCCATCTGGGCGCCGGCCGTCTTGTTGTGCGGCAGGCGCTTCTTGACGAGGCGGCAGGCGACGAGGGAGGAGGCGGCGCAGATGAGGCCGATGATGCGGACGGACCAGCCGAAGCCGACGCGCGGCTCGGCGTACAGGATGACGAGCGGGAAGACGATGCCGCCTGCGCCGCCGGCCGTGCAGACGATGCCCGTCGCCAGCGCGCGGCGCTTGCTGAACCACTGGCCTGTCGTTGCGATGCAGGGGTTGAAGAGGAGCGAGGCCGAGAGCCCGCCGAGGACGGAGAATGTCAGGAAGAACTGGTGGAATTCTAAACAGAGCCGCGTCAACAGCGCGGCGTGCCTGGACGGGAACGGTGCGACGAACCCTTGCAGATGCTGAGGATCATGGCCATGACAACCATGCCCACGCTCCCCGGCACGATGAGCAGCTTGACATTATACGCGTCGAACACGGGTCCTGTGCGGTAGTCAGAGGACCTCCCGGCTGTGGCTGGGGGGGCGTTTCGACACGTACCGACCTGCACGCCGCATGAGAACATCAAGAACGCATACGTGCTGAAGATCCAGCCCGTCGTCGACTCGGGCCAGCCGGAGAGCTCGTGCTGCGAGACGCGCGCCTGCAGGACGGCGAGGGCGTTGAGCCAGCCCATGGGGGCGAGCAGGCCGCACCAGCAGCCGAGGATGGTTGTCCATGCCTCGAGTCCGCCGTCGGGGCACGCCCCGTTTGCGTCTTTGCTTTCTAGGTCTGCGGGCTTGGTTGGCGGGTTTCTTCCTGCGAGATTGGGGGGTGGTTTCTCCCCCTTGGGAGACGAACCTCCGTGTTTCATTTCAGATGGCGGCTAGACGTGGGATGCCTGAATAGTACGACGGGACGGAGGAGGAACGAGGCGTGGTATGGCTCGCTTACTGAGTCTTGGTTTGGCCAAGGGCGGATTTATAGAGAAGATGAGCCGTGATGGGGCTCGAATCGACAGTCTTTTTTCCGTTTCAAGATTTGCTCATGGATTTCGGTTGGCGTTGTTTGCAATCGTCTGTGGCATGCTGAAAGACCGGGCAAGTAGGATCGATCATTAGGAACCACGTTCTTAGAGAGAGAGATTGGCTATTGTCTCTTGTGACGTGGGAGATGCGGTGTAGATTCAACAGTTTGCTGGGCCTGGCTTGACGCACGGCGTCGAGGAGCTGAAAAGCCTTTGTTTGTCTGAGCGGGGGACGGGGTGCAGTTTCGCTCGTGCAGCGTATGGAGTAGCGGCATATAAGACCGTCTCTGGGTGTCGTTATCGAGGAAATGGTTGGGAAGATGGTGTGACTTGGGGGTTTCGTGGACTATATTCCGCGTTACACTGTGGAAATAGGTAAGCGAGAATGGTTTGGGCCAGCCAACCGCCGTCTTGTCATATACTGGGCGTCAGGCTGCAAGATGGAACTGGCACGTATAGCAAAAGTAGATTAATATCTACGGGAAATTCTGCCTGTTCCACACAGACGACCAACAGCACCCACGTATCGCTCATGGATGGGGTGCTTGTTAAACGCCCTTGGTCAGAATGAGCGCCTCTCGAATGTCCGTCACCGCCGGACGCCCTCCAGTGAAGACATGGCTCCGCCAGTGGCACTAGCCAGGTACGCATCGATGTGAGGAAGGCCGATGCCCTGCAGGAGCATGGCAACACCTTCGCCTGCGGCTTGGACGGCACCGGGTCCGACACCGCTGGCCGAGAAGCTTGCCACGCCGAGTGCGTCCTCGAGCTGCACGAGCCGAGTTAGTCTGATACTGTTGGGGAGGTGGGACGAATAACAGGCAAACCTTGGGGAGAGCACCGCCGAAGAGGGTGTCGAGTACGCCTTCGACGGCGGTCACACCGACGACATCTTCTAGCTGGAGTGCGACGTTGCCAACTTGGGTGATGAGAGGTGGCTGACGGAGCTCTAGGACCGACACTATTAGTAAATTTGTTGACGAGTTCTAGTTGTGAAAGGCATACTGGTACGAGTAGCCAGGGCTGAGCTGGCAAGGAAGAGAGTGGCGGCGAGTGAGAAGCGCATCTTGGCGAAGCGAGGTGGTGTGTAATAACGGAAGAATGGCTAGCTGTGGTTGAAAGTGCTGGATTTGAGTTTGGGCGGACAAGATTTTCGAGGCCTTTTGTACTCGAGTCGGTGGAAAATACTTGCTTTTGATCGTTGCATTCGTCCATGTGCAAAGGCCGTCTGATGCGGAAATTGGAATCGGTTGTTATCAATATCACGGTCCACCTTTGATAGTCGGCGGACTTGACGTCGTCTCATCTCTGTATTTTAATGTTCATCCAATGTTTTCATGGTAATATCGTGATCGACATGACAACTTCGGAGTGAATGATGGCTTGTCTACACGATTGTCGCAATACCAAGTCCGTCACTACGCCTTGGAGGGCGAGATCAGAGCGCTGCAGCCGGGGAGCAGCTTCCCTACCAAACTGCTGTCATCTGAAGCTGCCTTATCGTCTGATCTTTGTGTCGGGGTATAAAAGCGGGCTCGCTGGTCCATGTTCAAGACAAGGCCTCGGGAAGCTCTGGTCTAGAACAGTCTAAATCTGGCAGATTCATCCGTTTAAGTGTGGCTGAATACACGCATTGTCTACGGACACAGTTTCTGCTTGGCAAGTTGAGGTTGAAATTAAGATGCCAACTTCAAACGGCCTCACAAGTTGGTGGACAATATTCAGATTGTGGGAGATGTCGACTGTGAACACGAGCTTTTCATTAGACTGTTTCGCAACCTGGAGATGGTTTCCATCTTTGGAAGCTGAGAGTCAATTAGTCTTTGAGCAGAGCGGTAGTGGCCATGGTTGTATATGGTGTAGGTGTGGTGGCTGAGGGAGAAGTCAATCAAATCCCATAGTCACATCATATGTGGGAAACTACGAGAATAAGAGGCCTAGTCTAAACTCTACGATTATTCTTGTCTCATCTTGGATTACTGATGACACTTTGACGGGTGGTTCCGAAACGGGAATCGAGAGAAGGAAAAAGCGGGGCGCCGTTGATGCACCAAGTCCCGGCCCTGGTCTTCGCATCCTGGCCTTGACAACTCACTTCGTCCACGTCCATCCTTCACTCGAACAAACATTCCGTCATTGGCTAACATTCATGTCCCACCCCGTCATGAACAGATGGTGCGTCGACTCAGATAGAGAATTGCCATGGAGCATGCTACCCGGCCCTTGACAAAGCGGCCTAGGGCCGTGCAGGCGTGTAACGCATGCAGGCAGACCAAGTCCAAGGTAAATCTCAATCTCCCATATCCTGTGCTCCTCGGTGTGATACTGCCTGCTCACCTTCGATAGTGTGATGGCAGACATCCGTCCTGTGAGCGATGTATCAGGTGTAATATCACTTGCGAATACACGCAGAACAGTCGGGACAGGCGCATGGACCGGCAGGAAGAAAAACGGTAGGCGGCCTTCCGTCTCCAGCGAACAAGACTTTGAACGCCAGTTCCCCTTACCATTGTATGTGGATACTGAGTTTTGAACAAGAGCACATCTCGCATTAGCAAATCGAGTCCGAGAGTTGGAAGCCCAATTGGCTCTAGCAAAGCAGACCCAAGCACAGGACGCCATCTCGCCCAGCAGTCATGGCGGCAGCGTGTCTTCCCCGGCCCATGCCAATACTGGCGGTGTGAACCCCGAGGGTGCAGTTGACTCCAGTGCCGATGCAATAGCAACCGGTCTCTTTGATGACCAACCCGGAAATGCCGACATAGGCTACTTTGGTAAGAATGATACCTGGACAACATGGAAGCGTAGAAAAGGGAGCGCGGACTGACCTTTCCAAATGCTCTAGGTGCCAGCTCAAATCATGCCTTCTTTTGGTCTTTGACATCGTCCTTGGAGGAGCTGAACAAGAAGAAGCCTGGGCGACAGAATGTTCCTCTCCGACAGGTCGGCGGAAATGACGGGCCAAGACGGCTTCCCTTGCCGCCGCTTAAAGTGGTGACAGCAGAACGGCAACCATTACCCCAAGAAGACTCATTTCCTGGACGAAAACTAGCCATTGATTGGATCAATAGATTTTTCGACACAGTGGCGCCCGTTCTCCCCTTTGTCAACAAATTCATGTTGATTCGGGAGATTGACCTAATTGATTCTCGGACCGGCACTTGGCAATCGTGTCCTTCTAATACCCAGGCCCTGATGAGTATCGTCTTTGCCCATGCATTGGATATATCCGAAGACGGTGCGTCGGAGCCATTTTACCGCCGAGCCTTGGGCCTGTTGGATGAGAAAGGACTCTATCTGCCGACTATTGAAGCCCGTAAGTACCTTGACCCTTCTACTACGGGCTGATTCTTGCACACATGGGAATGCTGATTTTGGTTAGTCCAAGCGCTGCTACTCCTGGCAAACTTTCAACAGAATAGCCAACGGGCACAAGAGAGCATCACCACTCATTTTCGTGCCGTCAAAGCTGCCTATCAGCTTGGTGTCCACTCACCATCTTCGTACCGTCGATTTGGAAACAGGGACAATGAGCTGCGCTCCTTGCTTTGGTTTGCAGTTATAAATGAGGACCGGTACGGATCATCAACTGTCGTGATACGATGATAAAACTAATTGCTTCCAGAATAATTGGTTCTGGTTTGGGCCGCCCATTTCTCGTTCCCGCCCAACATATTCAGACCAAACTCAAAGATCTGATGAGCCATGGATACACCGGACAAGGTGACGATTCCAAACTTGGACGGCTGAGTCTATCTCACTTTCGGCATGTAATGTAGGTTGCAATTCACAAGTGCACTTTCTTGCTCTGACAGGCGGCTGGTAGCAAATATCATGAGATTATCGGCAACGTGGTTGAGGTTATGCACAACTCAAATATCACGTCGACCAATGACCTCACCCTGAGTGAGCTTGTACCCCATGTCATGGAATCGCTGCGGAAGCTAGAAAACCTTCGAAAAGATGCAGCACCTTACACACTACCCGTATCGGGCGCGACTGTCGATTCATGGCTGGCTAAGGAACTCGATGAACACAGGTATACAATACTGAGCTCTTTGTATCATTACCGCGTCACCATGCTGGTCAATGCACCGCTGCTATTGGCGGTATTGTGGCATGTCTCGACTACTGCAGAACCAGGCGACTCTCATCTCCACATCAACATTGCCGTGTCCATCTTGCAAGCGTATTTGCAGATCATCAACGACTTTCACACCCTGCTTTGCACCATCTTGAGGATCCAGCGGTCATTTTTGAGGCAAAATGCCGTGTGGTGGCTGTGCAACTATATGAGTGAGTTTGAAAGGAGTCTGCCATGGGCCGTGCTAATCCGTGTCAGTGGTGTCGATAAATCTTCATTTATTTGGTTTATGGCTGATATCGTCCAAAAAACCGGACACATTGCCGCCACTGGGGATGACAAGCGTCCAAATTGAAAATCTGATGCGGCGAGCTTTGGATACGCTAAGATTGGTAGGCGGGACCAGTATAATGAGCAGGAAGGCTCACCGCTGTTTGCAGCAATACCTTGACTCTTTCACCAAAGGTACGCGTATTCCCTGTCTCGTGTCACAAAGGATATAGCTTATAGCGGGTATTAGATGTCGAAATGCAGAACCGGATTGACATGGAGCCTCCTGTGCTTACGGAGACGACTAGGCCTTGGCCGTATGGTCTTCCCTCTGGCGGCATGGTATGGGATGGCAGCATGGACGACCTCATGGCGGGTTTGAGGGCGGAGGACTTTCTCGGGGATGATATTTTTGCCATGAGTTACAATATTAGTGATTTCGATGCAACGGGATTTATATGATGTACAACAGTCAATCTATATGCAACTAATTACATGTCGTGCATGCCATTGTGGAAACATTGACGAACGGATCTGTCTCCTCAGTACGCACAAACAGCAACACATCGCTCTCCGTTGCTGTGATGGCCAATGGGCCAGCTGATCTGCTGGCGTCATCGTCAAATTGCTCGTGTCTGTGTTGATGAATGCTTGGAGAAATGAAAGGGCACCCCGAGACGGCAACTGCATGGACACGGGGCATCTCCTCGCCATCCTGATTGGGTCGCATCATGGCCTGCCCTTTGTGGTTCATGTGGAGACGGCCTGCCGCGCATGCACAAGTGGTCATCGGTGGTGGTAGTACATTCATCCAACCCGAGTACTCATTTCCAGAAAATACCCTTGGTCGGCTTCAACCTCAATCCCTTCAATAACCGTCACTCCATGTTGGCCGTCATAGGAGCCGACCATGAGCGACCACGGGGACGAGGAAGACCGTCGCCTCTTGGATGAGTCGTTGGCGGTTGATGCCGTATCTCACGAATACGACATTGGAGCCAAGAGTCAACCTGGTCGATCAGCAGCCTCTTCCATATGGACCTCGCTAGGGTTTGTCTTCGTTGTCGCGCTTTTGGCAATGCCGCTTTTGGGATACGTGCGCCATCTTGAGCCGGCATTAGCTCCCAGTTCCCCTGTGCAACAGCTTGCGATTCCACTGCACCCCGAGAGGCATATATGGCGAAGCGCAAAGACACTGGAGTTCCAGTGGAATGTGACTCTGGGAACTATGGCGCCGGATGGCGTTAAGAAGCAGGTGTACCTTGTGAATGGTTTGTCTCTCGCAACATGGTTCTGCCTTGCTTCGATTCCATGCGTTCGTGAAACTAATCTGGTCGAAAGGCGCATTTCCGGGCCCGACAATCGAAGCCCGCTCTGGTGACAGGCTCATTGTCCACGTGCACAATAGCCTGGCGGATGAAGGTCTGGCAATACACTGGCACGGGCTACGAATGAAGGGCTTCAATTCCATGGATGGCGCCATCGGCTTCACGCAGTGTCCTATTGTCGCGGGCCGTGACTTCAAGTACGACTTCAAGATTGGTGACGATGAGCACGGCACCTTTTGGTGGCACAGCCACGCCGAAGTCCAGAGGGGCGATGGATTATACGGGGGGTTCGTCATTTACCAACCTGGTGTTCGACCAAAGCACCAGGAGGCTCTCGTCCTCGTGGGTGACTGGTTTCACCGCAAGCAGACGGACGTGTTCAACTGGTACTTTGACTGGGGAAGCGTGGGAAACGAGCCAGTGCCGGATTCTCTGCTAGTCAATGGCCGCGGTCGGTATAATTGCTCCATGGCGGTTCCTGCACGCCCCGTCGTCTGCACACAGCGATCCAGTGAGGATCTGCTGCCCTTGCTGCATCGGAGGCCCGAGGACGCGGTGAAGCTGAGGGTGGTGAATACTGGGACGGTGGCCGGCGTGACTCTCAAAGCGGATGGAGCGACAATGCAGCCCGCGGCGGTTGATGGTGGTTTCGCAGTTGAGGAGCGACCCGGCCGCTCGGTGGGTATTCTGTATCCCGGCGAAAGGGCAGATCTGTTGGTGAGATGGGACGGCGTTGGTGAACAAAACTATCAGCTTCATGTTGAGCTGGATGACGAGTATGCCGCTTCCGAACCATCTAAACGGACGTGCTTTTGCTGAACATTGCACAGAAACTTTGGCGGATTTCCGAATCCAGCCCTGGACCCAAACCATAGCTTCGATGTCTTTCCTCCCAGTCTCGAAACCAGGCAAGAAAATAGCCCCCCTATCCTCTTACCCGACGACGACCAACACCGTGATCTCACGAATCTCACGGCCGCCGCCACATCAACAGACGTATTAGCCCCCAAGGCCCAGGAAACAATGGTCCTGTACTTTAAAACGCAAATGCTCTCCCGCTTCCAGAATAAGCCCATGGGCTTTGTCAACAACACCTCCTGGAAGCCGCAAAATCCACCGCTTTTAGCAACAGACCGCAGCCTCTGGGACGCAGACCAATTCATCCCCTTTATTAATTCTTCGAGGACGAGGGATGTTGACATAATAGTCAATAATCTAGATGATGGGGCACACCCGATTCATCTCCACGGGTACTCATTCTACGTCTTGTCGTCATTTAGAGCCGAGGGCCGAAATGGATGGGGCAGTTATAACCCCTTCGAGTCGGCGGCCCCTGTGCCGCCAAATCTTGTTAACCCCGTTCAGAAAGATACAGTTAGCGTGCCCAGAAGGGGACATGTGGTTATTCGAGTGAGAGCGGATAATCCCGGTGTGTGGATGATGCATTGCCATATGCTCGTGCATATGGGCACTGGGATGGTGACGGGGCTGCACGTGGAGGGCAAGGAGAAGCATGTCGGTGTGGAAAGGGCGAGTAGATTGTGTAAATAGATGTATAACCAGTGGCATTTAGCGTGCCCGATATTGAACGGCTGCCGTCTTGACCAGTCGTTGTGCTCGACACGGATACCATGGGGTACGGGCCCGGGCCCACGCGCATAGTGAGGCTGGTCTTACAAAGATGTTGGCCTCAATGCTGGCAACCACTTTTAGTACGCGTGATAGATGAAGAAATTGGCACATGAGTGAGTTGGAGCGTGGGTTTCTGAATGTGTTGCCAAGGTACCATGCTGGAAGCTGGCAATCGCGGAGGGACATGGGGGTAACTTATACTAGTTGATCAACGAGCCAGTACAACGGGGACGATTCACAAATGTGAATTCGAGACAAATAACATAAAGTACCTAGGCTTGGAAGCAGGAAAAGGAATCAGGGCTAACCCAGAGAAGGTCCAAGCTATCTAGTTTAGAAGGTTATGACCTGGAAGGGACCTTTCATGCGTTGTGCGTGCTTGTATTCTTGCTGGTCAATACTAACTAAAAGACCAGTTGATTCTATCAGAAGGGGCCGAATCCGGCCTGCTGGCTGCGGGCTGCTTCTATATACTGTCTAAATACCTAGTTCTTGAACGCAATATAGGGATTAAAGACGGTAAGAGGAGTGAGATGTTTGTTCCTACATTCTCTTAAAACGCTAGGATTCTAATAGCTCTTGCTAAAAGACATACTTGATAAAAGTTTTGACTAGCTAATATAACTAAAGTATAGTTTAATACTCGAATTTATAATATAAATCATCTTTTGGTCTTTTAGTACTATTAGATGTTAACTAGTTATTAATATACTTGGCTGAAATATTATCTTACACCTGAGTACTTTTACTCGTCGGTGTCACTGGAACTAAAAGTTATAATACAAGACTGTGACAAGGACTCAGTGAGGGCCTGGAGTAATCAATCAATTCGTCTAATAACAGTCTTTGGTATGAAAGATCCTTGATTTTCATCAAGTCCGAGATGACCGAAGAGCTTTATTTGTACAAGAAGCGGCGAGAGCATTCTGCTCTAGGTCCCCTGATCATAGCCCTCACTGAGCACTTGTCACGTTATAATAGAAGCCATATGTCGATGAGACGTAGCATTAAAGTTTGCGCAGTTCTCGTACAGATATCACGAATAGAAACTCGGTTAGATCAACATGCGTAAAATGACAAGCATTTTCCCTTTGCTTACCGACACCGCCCATCGAAAAGATCGGGCGCAGTTCCTTTGCTACTACGCATGAATAGACTAGTCCACACCACATGTAGCTAAATAATACTTGAAATCCTTTATTCGCCTTGGAAGCAAGAACAAATACCCGCTAGTAGCCGGCCGAACTTCAAATCTAACAGAGAACTCCGTACAACTACCACAGCTTACCCCAGATAGAGCCGCAGGTGAATCGAAGCTCTACAATGCCGGCAAAAAAGAATCCCTATTACCTCGACGAGATTATTTTGCCGCCTCGCTAAGGCCGTCCTTGGAATCAATGAACCCAAAGAGATTTCTCGTATATCGATCAAACTGAGAAGCCGTCGGTATTAGCACGCCACCCAACAACCATGAGTCCACTCATTCCCCGTGAAGACCGGTTGAACTTACAGCCCCATCTCTGCTGTTCCTTATGCGACCAATTGGCTCGTCGAGCTTGTTGATTTCCTCGACTAGTTTATCATCTGGTGCTGCCTCAATAGCAGCCGCCCTTTCCTTCAGGAGGTCGATGGTCTGCTGCCAGCCGTCGCCCTACAAGTAGCCCGTCGAATATTAGCGTGGTTGCTGGTAAACCATGGATTTGGTGGCCTATAGACTGGATGCAGACGTACCGTGCTCTTCTGCCTCTCGTCCTTGGCCTGTTGGAATTTTTCAATCAGATTGTTCAACTCCTGAATCTCACTCTTGACTTTGTCCTTGTCGACGCGCTTGCTGAGGGATGGTTCTCCAAGTGGACTGGCGGCGGCCACTCCCACGAGCGCAGCAACAAGGGTGTAGGAAAACTTCATTTTGAGCTTGATGGGTACACTTGAATAGTGGTGCTTTGATAGTATGTTTGTGAAAATGGTTGTGTGCAATTGAGTTGCGGAAGCTTCTCGAGGTCGGGCGTCGGGCTGCCTTATATCCCCTCGGAAGAGGTCGTTAAAAGACTCGAGTGTCTGGTTAAGCTTGGCAGAAGCTAAGGCTCATGGTAATATGCAGTGCAGATTTCGTCACTGCGAATTAGTTTTGCAAGTACGTTTGGGTTGGCAACATAGTTTTGCGCGAGTCAATCCCAAAACACTTTCGAGCTCATTTTGCTGCAACAATCGGCGAGACCGGCCAAGAGTAACATGTCCAAAACTGGTTTTGGTGTGCTGAAATTACTCGTGTCTTTATCGTGTGCAACTCGGTGTATACTTGGCCCCTGGTGCCAACTATTACTAATGATCAAGGCACGAGCAAGCAACATGTCGGTTTCATGGAACCGGCTGATGCAGTGGTTCTCGAAGTTTCACGGTTGCCCCGGACTCCATGGATTGGCCATGGCGTATTCGTTTCCCATTGGTTCGGCATCGATTATGCCCGTTTCTTGGCAGGGTCTCGCGTGGACGCATTACGCATTGGCCGAGCCAGCGACAACCTTACACCCAAGTTTCAATGTTACCTCGTGATGGAGTCCACCATTAACCGCGAGCGACCCTATGCATATGTGTTTCTAAAAAGCTTATATATCCTGATATCTATCCCATTTTGGGTTGGTACTAATATAACTATTACATGCTAGGTTACTAAACTTCAACATGGTCACGTTTCCCACCTAATCTGTAACACAACTCTGCAGATCTCAATACATTATTCTGCCAAGACGGTCGTAGGGTATCCGTGCTGCATTGTCGAATTTTTTTTGCCAAGAGAAACGAGAATTATTATCCTGCCGGCTTCGGTCGCTGATTCGGCGCCGAATGGTTCGCTTTAACTATTATTCGTACTCCGCAACAGATTAATTATATGCAACAAGCAAGTTCCTTGCCATGGGATGGGAATTGGGCAGTATAATTGAACCGAGACCGGGCAAATGAGGCTTCAGCGGCACTGATATAGTTGCCGATGCCGAACCGTGTTGCGCGATTATGCGCGGCGTTTAGGCCCAAGAGCAGGGTTGCAAGAAACAGCAAAAAGCCTCGTCTTCAAGACCATTTTGTAGATTTAGCCGTATTAGCAAATCAATATATATGGGCGGGCGTAAGAAACGTGTATTAAGCTTGACCCGTACGTTCCCTGTAAAAATCAATGGTTGAACATTGCCCCTGACGCCCGGCAATCCAACCACCCGCCACGTCGCGACTATCCCAAGATATCTCACAACATATTTCCCAGGGAACAGAACACCTACGGGATCCGGCTCATTGAACATGTCACGTTGCGGCACCAACGCCACTTTGAGTGCGGTGGTCTCATCGTGGCGTCTGCCTCATCCCATCATCCCACAGCGTCAAGGCCAAACCAGCCTGATCCGACCGGCTATACCATTAAATTGTCTTGCCAACCTTCTACCGGTCGGCGTAGAAGCTATTCATCCTCCTAAAATCTCCCGCTTAACACACCCAGGCTCAATGATCACAACCCACCCAAAATGTCAACCGGCAGTAAACCATTTTCCCGAATCGCAGTTGTAGGCGTCGGAGAAGTCGGCGGAGCAGCTGCATTCGCGCTCGTCATTTCCTCCTTAGCCAGCGAACTGCTGCTCGTCGACATCAACACGACGCTGCGAGATGGCCAGGTTCGCGACCTGTCCGACGTGGCTTACAGTTCCAACAGCGTGACGCGCGTGCGGGCAGCCACGCACCACGAGGCAGGGCAGTGTGACATTGTCGTCATTACCGCCGGATCAAAGTGTGTGCTGGGTAGGAAAATTCCACAACGTTCACACCCTTGCTGATGTTGACTTGCGCTTCATGCCAGGCCAGCCGAACCTCGAGCGTGTATACCGCAATGTGTCCATTATAAGAAACGTGGTCGACGCCATGAGGCCCATCAGGCAAGACGCCATTGTAGTCGTCGTTTCGAACCCGGTGGACTTGGCTACGACTCTGGTCCTCAAGCTCTCCAAGCTGCCCAAGTCGCAGGTCCTCGGCGCCGGCACCTTTCTCGACTCCGTGCGGATCCGGGGCATGATTGCCGACGAGATTGGGGTATGAAGCTTCCTACGACTATACGTGATTTTGCACTAAATTAAGCCAGGTGGCGGCGAATTCCCTGGATGTCTATGTGCTGGGCGTGCACGGGGACCCCCAAGTTGTGGCATGGTCGACGGCGACAATCGGCGGCGTTGCCATTGACAAGTCGCTGCAGTATAGTAATCAGATTGACCATGAAAAGGTAGCGCAGGAATGCAAGGACCGGTCGCGGAGCATCATCCGAGCCAAGGGCGCCAATCCGTTTGGCATCAGCTCCATTGTCTGCAGCATTTGCGCCTCGATACTCCTGGACAAGCGCAACGTTCGTCCGGTTAGCTGCTTCCGGCCGGGATACGGCTGCTGCTTCAGCTGGCCTGTTGTTCTGGGGAGAAAGGGCATCATGAGGGCCATGGACGTGCCGCTGAATAATGAGGAGAGGGCCGAAATAGACGAGACGGCCAAGACACTGAAGGCCACGGTTGCTCATGTTCTTGCTGATGGATAGGCTTGGGGTGTGAGAAGCGGGTGTAATCTTCCGGGTTCATTACTTGTGAGTCTTTTTGGTGGCTTAACAGGGCCTGAAGTGCAACTGTTGAAGTGCGCTCAACTTGGGATCGAAATGTGTTTCATTCCGCGGCTGGCGGCAGCTTGTGGTCGAATTGTTGTCATGGAACCTGACTATATTTCATATGCGTGGTATATGGAAATCTCAGTGATTCTACTACTTTGCATGTGGAGAATGACATCTTCAACTATGGTAGGATATACTTACCTATTCAGGAATATATACTAATGTATTATAATATAAAGCGTGATAGTCGAGTACACGATTTGGTTAAATTCTTTTACCGCCCACTGTAGATAGGCCGTAACTTAGTTCTGTCCGTTCTGGCTTTATAATTACAACTTAGACATGATAAATTTGGGATCGATATCAGCCTGGGGAGTTAAATTGTCATGGAGTAGTCAAAATCAAGATTCGCAGAAAACGACGAAAAGGCAAATTTCATAACCATACAACCGTGTGGAAGACGACGCTTGGTTGCGGACAGGAATCTATGTTCCGGTAGTGGTCGTTTACGATGGCACATGTGCCACTGAAAGACCGTGCTCTAATTGCACAGCAATTTGCACCTCTTATATTCCGTTGACAATGTGTAAATAGTTTGTAGTGCGATCATGAATGGCCCTTTTCATAAAAATCATTCAATACATGGAACTACCTCATTTTCTGCAAGTGAAATGCAAACTATCAACAGCACAGCACTTTGAATAATAAGCAGATTCCCCAAAACGCCATATCCAGTGGGATCAATCATCACGTTTATCTCTTGTCGCATAATAAACCAGACCGGGGACCGGGTTTAGAAGCGTACGGATAACGAAGCCTGCTCGCTATCAACCACCTGCTTCTTGACTACCAGAAAACTATCGGGGCTCATGGAGATGGAATTGATGCCCGATTCAACCAGAAACTTGGCCAGTTCCGGATGATACTCGGTGCCTGTCCGCATATGCCAATCTTGCACCCCTTTTCACGCGTCACCGAGATGACATGCCTGAGCATCCACTTGACGGCTTCGTCCTCCTCATCAAACAAGTCAGCCAGCTCGCCCGCGTCGCGGTCAACACCTAGTGTTAGTTGGGTCAGATCGTTGGAACCAATCGAGAATCCATAAAAGTGGTTGGCAAAGTTGACGGCGAGGATCACGTTGGACGGGATCTCGCACATGATGTAGACGAGCAGCCCCTTGTCGCCGCGGACGAGTCCGGTTTCCTCTATTACCTCCAAGACCATCTTGGCCTCATTGACAGTCCGGCAGAAAGGTATCATGACGACGGCATTGGTGAAGCCCATGTCCTCACGGAGGCGCTTGATGGCGCGGCACTCGAGCCCAAACCCTTCCTTGTAGCGCGGCGAGTAGTACCGTGAGGCGCCTGGGAAGCCGAGAATTGGTCCTCCTTGGGTTCAAACTCAGAGCCGCCAATGAGCCGGCATATTCATTGGTCTTGAAGTCGCTCATGCGGATAATGGCCGGCCGGGAACGACCGCCGAGCAGAGGGTCGCGAAGCCCTGGGACAACTTGTCGACAAAGTAGTCTGGCTTTTTGCTGTATACTCCCGTCAGAGTGGTGATTTTCTTCTTTGCTTCTTCGTCTTTGAGCTGGTCAAAGTGGATGAGCGCCATGGGTTGAACCTGGATGGCGTTGCTCATGACAAACTCCATGCGTGCGAGGCCGATGCCGTCGCTCGGGAGTCGCCACCAACGGTACGCCGCGGCTGGATTGGCGAGGTTGAGCATGACTTTGGTCTTCGTCGCCGATAGCCCGGACACGTCCAAGGTCTCCGTGGCGGCATCGGCTGCGCCGTCATACACGAAGCCCGAAGTGCCCTCAGCACAAGAAACGGTGACGTCCTGGCCGCTGTGCAGTACGTACGAGGCATCTCCCGTACAAATTACAGCTGGGAGCCCCAGTTCGCGGCTCACAATGGTAGCATGCGAAGTGCGTCCGCCGTGGTCGGTTATGATGGCCGAAGCCCGCTTCATCGCGGGCACCGAGTCCGGGTCTGTCGTCCCGCTTACCAAGATGAAGTTGTCCACGAACTTGTCCATGTCTCTGGCGTTTTCAACAAGGTAAAGTCTTCCCGAGACGGCTGCGTCACCGACTCCAAGGCCGTTGCGAGGAGACGACCCTTGTTATGCACCTTGTATACCTTGGAGATGGCGGCATCATGACCAGAGTGCACGGTTTCTGGCCGAGCTTGAATTATGAACATCACTCCCGTCGTGCCGTCCTTGGCCCACTCCATATCCATGGGCATACCATAATGGTGCTCAATCGTGTATGCCCAACGTGCGAGCTGGAGAATCTCCTGGTCGCCGAGGACGAAGGGGGCTTGCTCCGCCTTGGAGGTATTGACGTTGCGCGTCATCTTCTCAAGAATCGGGACCAGATTCCGGTCGATCAGGAACGGCTTGAATACTTGGTATTCATCAGGATTGACCGTCTGAACGACATTTTCGCCCAGCCCCCACGCCGTGTTGATAAGCACGATCTTGTCAAACCCGCTCTCCGTGTCTATGGAAAACACGACGCCAGAGCCGCCAATGTCGGAGCGGACCATCTGCTGTACGCCCATCGAAAGCGCGACGCTCATGTGATCGAACCCCTTGGTCTGGCGATAGCTGATGGCACGGTCGGTGAAGAGCGAGGCATAACACCGTCGGCAGGCATCCATGACCGCATCTTCTCCGGAGACGTTCAAATACGTCTCCTGTTGACCGGCAAAGCTCGCCTCTGGCAAGTCTTCTGCCGTGGCGCTGGAGCGTCCAAGTTCTCAAGTCTAATTTGCCGCAAATCTCGGAATATGCAGTTTTGATAGCAACGGCCGTGCTGCTTGGCCAGGTGCCGCCGAGGAACAGGGTGCGAATCTTGGGACCAGCCTCCCCGAGAGTCAGTTTGCCGTATTGCCCCTCCGCGATCAGTATTGCAACCTGCTCTTGGATGTCGTTTTTTGTCCACGTATTGCCAGTACATGTGGGAAGTTGTTGCGAATCCAGGCGACACTGTGATTCCCTGCTCCGTCAGTGCAGTAACATCTCGCCAATCGAGGAATTCTTGCCACCGACCAAGGGACCACGTTGCCGTCTTCCTTGGTCGAATTTGAGGATTAGTGGTTGCTCAGGGTTCCCATTGCTCGTTTTCTGACGCGTTTCGTGTCCCTGCTTCATCTGGAGTATGCAAGCAATATTTTCAGTATTGGCGGAACGACTGCTTTTTATCTGCGTGACATTTTCTGGAAGAGCTGAATGTGCAGGAACAAAAGATGACACAGGTTAGAGCAGAACATCATCGTCGCCAAAACATGGCAGGAGGGGACGTGCCAGCAGGATGTAGGCCACATACGTCAGCGGAGTTGGGTTTATCATGACATGATATCCTATTGGGGGCGCATGTATGGGCTCAGTGTCAGCCCACTGCATGATAAAGGCACACACGGGAATACCAGGTGATTACTCTGAAGATCCAACTCGATACAATTCTTGATGTTTCTCACAGACTCTTGGTGGTCATGATGCCGAACCATAATCAGCTTGCAATTCCGGGAGCCCGACAATAGTTTTGCAAAAATTATATGGCACGCTTCCAATTGTAGCAAAAGACTCTCAACAGTCTCGTACAATCAACCAGAGTCATGGCTTGTGGCTAGCCCTTACAGAAGCCTTTCGATCATTACATGGACGTCCAGGGTCTGCTCATGGCGGTAAGAGGTCAAGTGACTAAACCAAACATCATATGAGAGGAGACGCCAGCACCGTCTTAATCGGCGTGGGGGAGGCAATGTAATGGGGGAACTTGAAGCTTGCTCCGGAAATGAAAGGCCACAGGACACTTGCTCAGGTTCTCTGCGATCAGGAACTCGAATTGGTGGTCTGATGAAACGAGGAACCCAACGTATGGGATCATGAAATGGCTACCCGGTGTGTGATTGGACTAGCGGCAAGGGAGGTGGTCAAGGTTATCCTATTGAACCGGGAACGAAATATTTTAATTCCGGTTAGGTGTCGGGGTGAAAAGCAATAGATACGTATTCTATCTGGTTTACATTATTCACCCAAAGCCTGTGCTCTGGTAGAATTTTTGCCTCTCAATGCAGCAGTGAAAGAGTCAAGCACCACGTAAATAGAAACTGAGGAATCAAAAGGGAACAACTCCTCGCCGGAAACGATGGACTGAAAGTCAAAGCCTGGGCTTTCTTCATACGGCACGATTGGTCACTTGGATTACAACTGGACAACGATCGGGCAACAAGATGCCCCGGGAACCGGGCAGAGAGAGAATATTTGTTTTCATGAGTAGGTAAAAAGAGTGGAATCATACAAAAAACCAATGTTGTTTGGAATACTACTGCCTTCCAGGCATGTGTTTGCTTTGAAGGAATAACTAGCCTTGACCCGACGGCCTTGCCCGGGACAAAGCGACAATGAGCGGCGTTCTCTTCACAAGTTACAGATCGTCCACAATAGGCTTACGATGACTACCAGGCCAGGGCTCGCGAAGCCTCAACTGATCATGCGTGTGGATCTCGGCCCAGGCCTCGGGGATCTCCTTGACGCCGAGAGCGTCGAGCATGCCCTTGTAAACGGGCACCAGCGAATCCACGTCCAGCTTGTTCTGGCAGTTTCTGCACGCCGCGATGTTGCGGCGGCTGAGCACCGGCTCGCGGCCAATCTCGATCTGCTCCTCGGTGCGCGGGTGGCGGATGTAGGTGCGGATGACGAACGAGCCCGGGTAGTCGGCGCGGCTGACGTTTCTCACGCGCTTGATGGCCGCCATCTCGGCGTCAATGGCCCCCAAGTGGCCGCTCCTTGGTCCCTCGGGAACGTGGTCCAGCGACCCGCGGGCGTAGGTGTAGCCCAGCTGGCCCTCGATGTCGGTCACGTCGTCGGACGTGTAGTAGGCGTCGCGAGCGGTGCGGAAGGGATACAAGGGCGTGGTGTTGTCGAGCGTGGTGCCGGGGGCCAGGTACGGGAGGCCGTCGTGCTCTTCCACGACAGTTCCATGGTAGCCCTTGATGACGGTCAGACTGCCGGGCTGGGTCTTGCTCGCGCGCTTCTGCCACGTCCAGAAGACGTAGTCTACGAAGCAGTGGTGGAGGAAGAAGATGGGATCGAAGCCGGCCGTCTCGTTGTCGCCCATGTCGCCGTTGGCGCCCAGGATGGCGTCGGCGTCGTACACACCGCGGTGGTAGAAGCCGCCCACGGCGAGGTGGATGGCGTTGTGCGGCGACTCGAGTGACACGACGTAATCGGGGTTGTGGGAGCCATGGTCCGTGATCCACTGGCATTGCGACGATGTGTTGGAGAAGACGGTGTAGTTGGGCGCGGCGAGGCAGAGACGGAGCCGGGCCGCGACCGAGTACGTGTCAGGGTACATGGTCTTTTCGCCGCCGTCGTGCGTGATCTTGACGGTTCCCTTCAGCCAGGCGGACACGTTGTCGTTGAGTATCTTGTTTCTCGCCTTGGGGTCGTCATACTTGGCGTTGTGCACCTTGGTCTCCTCGGCCTCCTTGGGGGTGCCGACGAGCCCGGAGAGAGGGTAGCGGACTGTCGTATACCCTTCGGGCTTGGTGTACCGATTCCCCGCCACATTCTCGTAGAGCGTCTTTTGCAATGTATACGAGTAGAGCGGGTTGCGAGGACCGCCGTCCAGTGGAAAGGTAGGCGAGGTGAGGATGTCAGGGATGGGATGGTCGAGGTCAAACGTCTCATCCCAGAAAGGAAGCGTGACGTCCTCGCACCCCTCGATGGACCGCAGGGCCTCTTCGAGCCGAAGAAGATAGGCACGATGCCAGGTTGGGAACAGGACATTGCCATGATTGCAATATCCCCCCCACCAGTTGGTGTCAGAGACACCCGGTCCGCGGAAAGGCTCTCCGTGGAAGCCCCCGATCCTGAAGTAGGAGTTTGGGTGGTAGGGCGGTAAAGCCTGGATACCTCTCCATGCCTTGATGAGCTTCTCCAGGACGGAGCGGTCTGTATTGCTGTCATATAGATACTGGATGTGCTGGATGGACTGGCGTATGCGAAGTTTTGCCATTGCGGAGGGAAGAGTCGGTTATCTTGGGTATAATATGGCTTCAATCTTGAGAAAACTAAAATTCACTAGAGAGCTTCAGCTTGTAGCATTGGTATGGCGGCATGTCCTTGGTTCTGCGTCCCATATTCATATTACTTGTGTAAATTTAAAAGCACGGTTCCCGTGCACCTAAGCGTTGCCGGAATACTTACATTTCAAATGGGAACATATATGGACAACGGCTTGGGGAACACAGATGGAGCAGTGGACGGCTGAAAAGAATTCCTGCAACTGTGACGGGAGAGCAAGAGTCTGACATACATACGCGATGTCAGGACCGTACTGCCGGTCTCGGAACTTTGGTGCCAGTGCCGTGTAGTTATATTAATTATATTATAGCATGGGGTGAAGACGGTTGCTTTTCGCACCTCCATGTTGTAAACTCGAGTCAGAGTCCTGTCCTTCGCTTAAAGGAAATAATGCCGTGCTACCAACCTCTAGTCCTTTGTGGTGATACACGAATCCCACTGTAATACAACTTATGGGAACCTCCGTTTCTTTGTTACTTTCATAATGAAGGCCATCTGATGCAACACATTTCCCTCTGCACTCCAACGGTACAAGCCGTCAAAATCCACAATGATAAAAACAAGGACTGAAAGGCTTTTGCCGGGCTGACAGCAGCTTCTGCGGCCACACTTGTCCTGAGCCCCGAATGTACTGCGCGTACTGTCGTGGAGAATAAGAGTCAATCTGCAGCAAAGCTCCATAATTTGTGAATCAGGATATGCAATTCTGGTAGTAATACTCTGACGAGTCAGCCATACTACCAAGTCCTTGGACACACAGCTGGCCAGCTCACCCACCTCTGCGATTTGACAGGGAAGGTACGGGAAATCAGAGTTTTCCTTTTGAAATTATATTGCAGCCCCAGAATCGAGGAGTGTATTGGCAATCCTAATGTTTCCAGTTCGGCCGACCGCACACAGAGGAGGCATTGTGGCACAGCAGAGTTTGTGGGGGATCGCAGAATCTGAAGGCACAACCTGAAGGTCAAATTTATACAAGTCAGTATTGTAATGATTGGCGTACAACACTAATAACTGGCGATGAAAGTTGTTCGAAGCGGCAGGTAATTCCGATTGGGTGGAGGCTATTTTGATTCTCTGACCTGAACCTTGCATGAAGCCCATCCTGAAGTCGGGCAAGAACTTCCGAGTCGCTATCAAGTACCCGCAGAATTATCTGGACTCGCCTGCTTAAAGAGATCAAGTACATCGGCTAGCATCCTGGCCCACGTTGCTAGGCCAGCGCCCTGCCGTGGAGTACCAAGAAACAGAATGCCCCGAGCACAGCTGAGGAAGTTCTGAGGATGTTTTCCCGCTCGTTGTCGTGCAGTAGACAGGGCCTATATTTTCTATAACTAGACTTCGTGAGCCCACAAATCAGGCGACTTAGATCTTCACTTACAAGACCTCTTGGACTATGGCAGATGATTATAATTGGGCCGTTGTTGTGGTAAACTAGTCTAGTGCGATTATATACCAATACTGATTGTTAAATATTATGGTGGCATTGTCTTCTCTGCACCTTGCGATGCTTTGGTAGAGTTATCGATTAAGCGACATGTCACATCAAGAAGACGAGTCCTTGTCCACGATAACGTTGGAATGGACAACATGTCAAGATATGATTGGCGAAATGCGTGTAGTACGGCATATCACGACGGAATGAGAACAGGCGAGGCGTTCTCAGTCAACCTGGAGGTAAGCATCTGCATCCGCGCAGGATGGGCTTCTATCGAAATCTGGACTCTGTTGGCACTGATGCGGGAGTAGGACAAGGCACCGTTTTTGATGTTACTACGTCTTTGGCAGTGTGTGCCAGGATATATTTATCCACAACAAATATACACTAATATACTGCAGTATCTCGATACACGGGACGATAGCCAGGTACCTGTTCTGGCCAAATTCTTTTATCCTCCCGCCGTACAGCAAGCAATATAAGTCTTTCCATAATAGCAAATTCGAAGCTTCAGGTGTACATCACACCTCTCTATAAGCCTAAGGCTTGCAAGAGAGCAATGAATAAAAAAGAAAGATGTACATCAAAGCCCTCAAAGGCCCCTGGTGAAAGGCCCGTACAGTCAAGATTCAAGAGATGCTGCTAAATGTTGCGGAATGCTCGACCAATTGCTAGCGAGGTGGCACGGCGTTGTACTAAGAGTGACGGCTGGGATTTTTATGTTAGCATTCTTGGGCAGTAATTGCAGAACTCCTACAAGGCTTCGAGAAGCTGAAGTTCTCGATCTAAAACGGGGGACGTTCGGAACATGCAGGAAACAGAATATTAGCTAGGGTGTATTTAGACTCGTTCTAAAAGACTAAGGTCTTGTTCAAGCCATCCAACCTGTCACCCAGTCGGTCAGCTATGACACATACTTGGTCCATCGGCATAACCCAACACTTACCAATCAGTGGTGGCGGAGAGGTAGGCAACTGTGTCTCGTGGTACTGTCCGAGGAACAACACAAGGCGATGTAGATACATGTACCCGTTGACAACTAAGTGGGCTGGCCCACTTAGTTGTCAACGGATAGTATTTCACAGAAAATCAAAGCAGAAAAAACTGGGAAGCTTACGACGATTATATCAGCGCCGCCTTGTTCAGGCCTACATAGCGGTCCACCAGTAACGCTTGGCATTGTCGGTAATCCAGTCAATGATGGCAGACTTTTCTGCGCCGGAGACATGCTGGTCTTGACGAGCAACACCCTGTAGGATATTATGAATATTTTTGGTGATGCGAAAAACGGCCTGCCGAGGCTTCGGGACTGGCGAGCAAGGCATTAGTCTGGGACGATGCCGGCTGATGTGCGAGACGAGATGAGAGCAAGTGAAACAGAAAAGAGCCGCTTACCATACCACTTTACGTCCACGGAAAGCAGCCGTGAGAGACGCACCAGCCCATGTCGCATAAGAGCAACACCACCTCCTTGCGGCGTGGCACTGAAAAAGGCCATTTTTGTCCCTGCAGCTCGCAACTTGTTCACATAGAACATCAGTACATCCCACGATTCTCTCGAACAGGTCGTTTGGTAATCCTGGAGACTGCAGAGCCGAATTATACCTCCCGCATCGACTTCCACGGAACTGTGCCAACCGATTTGGAGTGCGGGAGTGAAGGGTAGGTTAAAGCACCTTTGTCACACTTTAGCCCTGTTCTTTGCCCTTGGCCGGACTTTTAACCCGTTTTCAAGGAGAGAATCGTAATACTTGCATGATACACCTACGAGCCATTGAGTCAGCTTGCTCGTCAACATTCTTGTCGTGACATGGCGTCCTCGACCAATTTTCCTCGGGAACGGCGAAGGGAATGATGTCGAGTTCGAGCCCAGTCGTGGGGACAAAGCAGAACAAAAGTCGCCCATCACGCTGGGGAGGCCAGCGGCGACGATTTTGGCATCGCAACTATGCATACACGACTCAAGGCGTGCGATAATGTAATCTGCGATGGACGTTGCGCTCATCAACTCAAGGTCCGTGACGTGGAAGTCTACAAGTTGGACGGCATCACGGAAAGCAAGGGCAACCGTCGTGCTCTGCTCACTGTCAAGCAATGCAGAGATGCCCACGAAGCGTGTCTCAAATTCTGTCAGAGAGACCAAATTGAGGTCTGGTGTGATGTTGAAATAGACGTTATCGTGAAAGTCATGTTCCGTCCCTCGGCTCAGAAGCCTAAAGTACGCACACCCAAGGTGTTCTGACGCGCACACGCAGTCGCAGCCAAGAAGTAACGCCCTGTATCTCAACGGCTTCCTTGGAGACTGAATGTCGGCGTTTGAATATGGCCCATTGTGAGAAGTCGGCCGCCATGTTGTCAAACGTCACAACTCGTCGTCATGGGCACGTGAATGAACCACACGAGTTAAGTTTGCGCCACCTCAACGGTAACAAAGACGGGCGGACCCAAACATGCCGTACTGGTATTGGAAATCATGCCACCTACTCGCCTCCACAAGTCCAGCTCACTTATAAAGCTCTGCCCCCCCGAGGACTCTTTGCAAATCACGCCTCGGCGAAAGGACCACTACTAAAGAATGCCGTGATGCCTCGCATTGAAAGCACAATGCCTCCAGTCGACTCTGCTGGAAAAAGCATCCAGGTGCCAGAAACGTTATTTCATATGGTTGTTTCCGTGACAAACAAACGGCCACATACACGTTCTCAGCCCGACTCGCAGAACGTACATTCTGGGAACCTACGGAACACTCCACGCCGCAAAGTTGTGTGCGCTCCGTTCACTACAGGAGCTGACGCTCATTCCTGATTGTTTTGATGCTTCCAAAGTACACTTCAATGGAGGACGGCATTTTGAGAATGAGATCATTGGCGACACTGCCGTTGTTTCCGTTCCACTGCTTGCCGGGCAAGAATTGAGCATCTCCATACAAGAGGTGCCGAACACGGAGTCCTTGGCCACTACCCCTGACGGGGTTGTAATCCCAGCGCCGGGCGCCGAGCACCTGCACTACGTCTTGCAAACGGCCATGAGTTTCACAAAGGGCAACCGGTAGTTCAGGCTACGCAGATCAAGGGAACGTACGTACGCCGTACGGATGCATGGAGCGCAGCGCACAGATTGCTTGATAGGGAAAGCTACATCAAGTATAGTGATCGAAGCGACGCTGAGTTCTGGGGCCATTGGCCCTACGGAGAGGAAGTTGTCGTTCATGCGGGCGTGTGTGGGCGGCCAGACTTATTATGTGTTGGTGAAAACGGCAGTCTGGGCGGACGCTGCGCAAAGGAGGGAACTCGAGGACTTGTTCAAGCCATCTGTCCATGAGACATGATGCTTAAGAGGGGAAATTCGCCGCCATACAGGCACGGTGGACCAACACGGAGCGCAAACCTGGTGACAATAAGCACGGAGAGCCCGGTGAGGAGGAAAGACTTGGCCTTCGTATGTAACTCGGCAAGGAACTAAACAATTGCCATTTCGGCGAGATATGCACCGCCGGCTTGGCAGTGGAACCAAATGTTGACAGTGTGTTGGCCCAAAATCAATGTTTCAAACAACACAGTATTCTTGGTAGCCGTAGCCGTGTAAGCCACAGTAGATGAGCGAAGTCAGGAATAGTAGAAAGTAACTCCGCATAGAGAGGCATTCGGAAGAAGCGTTGAAATAATCAATATCATGGACCAGTGCTTTCTTATGCGGTTCAGTGAGCCACCGAGAACCAAACTGCGAGGTGTAAACGCAATCTCGTTCATGCAATTGCGACCTAACGTGGACATATGGAGGAGAAAGAGTATGTTTCCAAGCATCATTCCCGAGTACGGCATTATCAGTAGTACCACACGTTCATCCCTCGCTCGGCAGCATATATATAATCGCCCGGCAGCATGTAAAGCCAACTGAATCAGTGCGTTACCGGTCAAGATTGCGGTATGGCGGTTTGTGAAAAGCCTCAGAAACAATACGGCCTGTACTGCTCCCAAAATGGCATGCCTCACGGGCTACAACGTAGCACAAAGCCTGTGAAACACCCAAAATCATCACGCAAGGCGTCCGGACTGGACCGGTTGGAGATGTTGGTTCTGACGGCACGTTCGTTCCCTAATATTGCCACAGGGAAAAACCTGCCGTGTGTACAATCAACGTTGATCCATGGGAGTTAGCAAGGCAGAGTTGGCCGTTGTGTTTTTGGTGCCGCCGTCGGGGTACCTGGTGGAGAAGGTCGTATTTTTTGATTTGATGTTGCGAATTACTCGCGATCCAGTCGGCAAATTGTCCATGTTGCAAATTGGCATGAAGCTATTACTAGATACCGACTGGGAATGTCGGAGTGGGGGCCATAGCTGACTTTTCATAACCAAGACAGAGGTTTGAATCCCGTCTCGGGGGAGTCAAGTATTCTCTGGACGTTTCATTCCCATCCACCTTGGCTGCCACCCATCCATAAATACTCTAGTTGGCTGTTCACGTTGATGCAATATAATGGGTACTGCTCGCTGTGTGTCACTGTTGTGCTCTGAGCCCGTCATTATGTGTCACGGCGCCGCAACTTGACAAGTCTTGCAACGCGTCTGGGGCACACATCGGGGAACGAGGCTTATGACGATATATTGGCAAATTGACACTCCATGCACTTCTCCACCAAGGGCCCGGTGGAGTTCATCCTGGTTGATGCCGAGCGTCGGCGTACTTTTTCTGACGCAAGAGGGCATGCGACGGGCCTGGACTTGTCAAACCCAGCACCCTGCCTTACCGGCTAGCCGGGCCTCAATCTCGCCCTCGTGGACCGTTTGGTTCCACATGAATCTGAGACATGCGTCTAGTTGCCATGGCTCTGGAGTCCTTCCGAAGGAGGGCGCGGTGTGTCTGGCAAAGTTGGCCGAAACTACAAACAAGCCTGTGCTGAATGGTCTGTCCGGCATGACCACGATTCTCCAAACCCCAACACGCTTCGCCAAAACATGTCGGCCCCGTCTTTAGTTTGCCGTTGTTTTCACGGCGCGTTGAAACAATGTATTGGATCCTGGCGGCCCACGTATGTGTGTACATATGCCGCTCACGATTCCGTGGAGCTCTAGCTTGGCCGATGACACAATGCGTCGAACCCTGCATCACAACCGCCTTGCACCGCAGCCGTGGGAGACTATGCTATATATGGGGATGATTGCTCCGTCACAAACCCGTCTTTCGCCTGGCCTTCAACTCGGCATCGCCTGGGGCCCGGCAAACGAGATCCCATCATGTCTCTCTATCGCATAGGCGTCGACGTCGGCGGCACGAATACGGATGCCGCGATTCTGGACATTCACGCCCTCAACCAGCCCGGCCGAGGCGTCCTTACGTCGCACAAGGCGTCCACGACTCCCGACATAACGAGCGGTATTGAGGCCGCCATCGCCGCCATCCTCAAAAGCTCTGCGGTGGACCAGCGCCGCGTCCTCAGCGTCACCATCGGAACGACACACTTCATCAATGCCTTGATTGAGGCCGATGCCCGCAGACTCGACCGGGTCGCCGTCGTGAGGCTCTGCGGGCCCTTCACGAGGCAGATCCCCCCCTTCTCTGGGTTCCCCGTCGGCCTCCACGGCGTCCTCGACGGCGGCGCCTATTACCTCGACGGCGGCCTGGAAATGGACGGGCGCCATATCGCGCCTCTGAGCGAGGAGCAGGTTCGGTCCACGGCGCGGGACATCATGGCGTCCGGAGTCAGGTCCGTGGCTGTTGTGGGCGTGTTTTCCCCCCTGGATCACGACAACGTCTACGAGGAGAGGTGCAAGACGATGCTCCGGGACGAGGCACCGGAACTGCGCGTTGTCTGCTCGCAAAACATTGGGCCTACTGGGTTCGTGGAACGGGAAAATGCCACCATCCTCAATGCCGCCATTCTGCGGACGGGCCACAGGGTCAAGAACGGCTTCAAGCGCGCCATGAGCCGCCTCAACCTGACCTGCCCGCTGTATCTTTCTCAAAACGACGGCACCCTCATCGACGCCGAGACCGCCGCCGACTTTCCCATCAAGACGTTTGCGAGTGGACCGACCAACAGCATGAGTGGAGCTGCGTTCCTCGCTGGCCTGGATAGAGATGGCGCCGCCAAGGCCCCGGTCGTGAATGGTGTCGAGTCGAAGCTCGACGGTCATGGATTGCCCGACATTGCCAGTGGCGGTCAGGGGGATGCTTCTGCCGAATACGCCGTCGAGCCTCAGGTTCTTGTTGTCGACATTGGAGGCACAACCACTGACGTCTGCGCGCTTCTGCCCTCTGGCTTCCCGCGTCAAGCCCCCGGCTTCGTGGAGGTCGCCGGTGTCCGGACAGCCTTTTCGATCCCTGAAGTCGTCTCGATTGGCTTGGGCGGCGGCAGTAAAGTCGTGGTTGACCCGGAATCGCCGCAGTCCGTGTTAGTCGGCCCCGGATCCGTGGGCCATGAGTTGCTGTCCCAGGCAAAGGTCTTTGGGGGCCCGACGCTGACCGCCACCGACATTGTTGTTGCCGAGGGCAAGGCTTCTCTGGGCGACGCGTCGTTGGTCAAGGACGTGGCAGCAGAGCTTCGCGAGGGTGGTCGGAGGGGGATCAATGCGCTCCTGGAGACCGTCATCGACAAGATGAAGGTGTCGACGGCGCCGGTGCACGTCCTCCTCGTTGGCGGCGGCTCAATCTTGGTGACTGAGAAAATTGCAGGAGTTGACAAGTGCATCGAGCCCATCCATCAAGGCGCGGCAAACGCCGTTGGTGCCGCCATTGGCAAGATCTCCGGCGAGGTCGACACCGTGGAGATCCTGGAGGGTAAAGACGAGAAGGCGGTCATTGCCGCTGCCTGCCGAAGGGCAATTGACCAGGCCATTGCCAAGGGGGCCCGGCCGGACGATGTCAAGATTGTCGAGGTGAACAAGATGCCTCTCCAGTACATGTCGCAGGTGACGATTCGGATCCAAGTCAGGGCCGTGGGGACTCTGGCCATTCCAGACGACGTGGCTCTGTTCGAGGCACCCGAGAGCAGTGACGGGGCGAACGGCGACGACGACGACCAAGACGAGGGAGAAAAAGTCAGCGTCCCGAATGCCCTCCACCCTACGACCAAGCCTTCGCTGGGAGTCGATTTGGCCACCTACCGCCCAGACGTGCGAGGCGGCACATGGTATCCCTCAGATATCGACCTTGAACTCATTTCAACGGGGTGTGCCATTTTAGGGACTGGTGGCGGCGGCCCGACCTACTACGAGTACTTGAAGAGTCTGCAGTGCCTGAGCAACAACGACAAGGGCCGGATGCGCATCGTCTCTCCCAAGTCGTTGAAAGACGATGCTATTGTATGCCTCGGCACGTGGTATGGCAGCCCGAGTGTGATTAACGAACGCATTGCTGCTGGCAATGAAATTGTTGATGCCATAAAGGCTGTGAACAGAATCCAGCATATAGAGAGATTTGACGCCGTTCTTGCTGATGAGATGTGAGTCCCCCCCACCCCCCAAAATACCTACCCATTGCCAATCAATCCGTGAAAAACTAACCATGAAACCAGCGGCGGTGGCAATGGCCTTTCAGCCCTTCCCGTTGGTACTTACTTCGATGTTCCCGTCGTGGATGCGGACGGCATGGGGAGAGCATATCCAACCATGTATCATAGTAAGACTGACCGCCCCCCCCGCGAAACCACGTTGGAGCGACAAGCTAACCCGGCCACTCCAAGTCACATTCAGCGTTTACGGACACGAAATGACCCCTGCCGTCATCACCGATGCCCGTGGAAACGCTGTTGTCGCCATGGTGAGCACCTCCCAAGAAGCTGCCGACACACAGTGACGAAGCTGTGACTAACTCATCCGCAAGGGTGTCGATAGCCCGAAGCGCCTCGAGACGATTTGTCGCAATGCAGCCGTAGAGCTCGGCCTCACCTGCGCCTGCGGCACAAACCCCATCTCCGGGGACATGGCAAAGACTATCGCGGTGCCCAATACGCTCTCCCAAAGCTGGTACTTGGGACGGGCTGTGCACCAAGCCAGGCGAGCAAAGACGAGCTACACCGACGCAATCGTAAGTCTCGTGTTGATGGCATGCCCATATCCGACCGTCTCTCCATCACACGGAGCACCAGCTAACCGCGGTCCCCGTCTGTCCTAGTTTGACGTCTGCGCCGGCAGGGTGATATTCACCGGGAAAATCGTCGACGTCCAGCGCCATCTCGGCGGCGGCTACACAATGGGCGCCGTTGTTCTCGCCCCCTTTACCGATGCCGAGCGCGAAGCCGAGTCCAAGGCTGGCGCGCAGCCCGACAAGCACATGATGATCCCCTTTCAAAACGAGTACCTGTACGCCGCGCTCTGCGACGAAGCAGGCTCCCAAGAGTCGCAGCAGGTCGTCGCCACCGTGCCGGAACTGATTTCCATTCTAGGCCACGACGGCGAGGCCATCGGCTCGCAAGACCTGAGATTCGGCCTGCGCGTCAACGTCATTGCCCTCCCCGCCCACCCGTTGTGGAAGACCAAAGAGGCCATGGCCGTCGGCGGCCCTGCGGGCTTTGGACTGAAGATGGAGCCGGTGGATGGCAGCATCCCCTTCACCGAACCGCGAAGCGTGATTGACGAGTTTAATGTATGACGAAACACTCTTTCCTGTACTGTGGCGGCCCTGTTATTGAAGCCGTTTTTTGAAAATCATCGTGGCAAATAGATGTCTGGAGCGGCCAAGCGAGCAAACACGGTCACATGAATATGATGGAGATTTATACACTTGGGCGTGTTTTTGCACTGCGGCCACTTGTAAGCTACGGCCACGCGTGCCGTTTCAAAAAGCGTAGTGGCATATTACAATAAAAAAAGCGTGCCAAACGCAATTTACATCTGGTAAACACCAAAGAACATGTACCTCTCGTCGTCGCCAAAGAACGGAAGGCTCACTTCAAGCCGGTCCACCACCTCGGCTTCCACGCGCCACCTGGTGCCTGTCCTCCGCCCGACTTCATCCCACAGCCTCTGGAAACTCTCCTGGTTATGGAGGTGGCATTTGCTCAGGGCCCCAATCTCTCTCGGCCTGAGCGTGCCGATGTGCCTCCCGAAAATGACTGCGTCGGTAGTGCCGGGCTGCAGAAATCGCACCATACGAGCACCAACCCTTACCTGCTCGTCCCATGCGAAGAGATGGAAGAAGTTCGCGGCATGTATCATTGTTACTTTGCCGTCTAGTTCCTCGAGGCTGGCGTCGCCGGTCAACACGTCTCCCGCAACAAAGGCGAGGCCTCGTTGCTCGTCCCCAAACAGCTCGTTTCCAATGTGTATAAACTCGGGGTGCAAGTCTGTTCCGTACAGGCGCGACGGATGCACGCCTTTGTAGGCGAGCTGGCGGAGGGCCTGGCCGATGCAGCAGCCGACATCGAGGACTGCAGTCTTGCGGGAGTCGGGGTCCTCGGCGAGCAGTCGCTGCCTGGCGGCTTCGAAGCGAGGGTCTGTCATGCTGCGCAGATTGGCGAAGGCCCAGCGGCCAATACAGGGATATTTCACCACGTCCCATAGCCGGTCTCGCTGTGGAAAGTGTCAGCAGCGGTCTGGTCATGGTGGTCTGCGCGTTTCTGGGGGTACGGCTTACGGTACGGAGAAGTAACGCGTCGACTTCAGCGGGGGGCACCTTGCTGTATTGTTGGAGCAGTTCTTTGAATGGCGCGATGTTGTCTGGCAATTCTTTGATGTAGACGTATTCCTGCCAGGATGCTTTGGTCTTTTCTGGGTCCGTCTCCATCGCTGGTTTGAGCGTAGCTTCGTCCATTGGGAAATATGTTTGCGAGGCCAGAAAGGTGTTCTTGGCAAAGATGGATGAAGCAGACTTTAAGTGTCTAGCAAGTCTAATAGTAGCAAAGCACAGGAGTTGGTCATGTCCTGGTGTGCAAGCGGGTAAGCGGCATGGGAAAGGCGTCCGGTGTGGTATCAGAGCTCCGAAATCCAGTCACAACATTAGTCTGCTTTTGACATTTCTCAAAGACAGAGACAATTGGTTGAACAGAAGTACATATTCCATTTTTTTCTGGCAAAAAATAGCCTGAATTCGCTGATGCTTCTCTTGTTTGCTGCGCCGTGGCACCGCTTGGCTCCATTCGATTTGACGGGCATGTCCTCGCCTTGTAGAGAGAAGCACAGCCAATCCAGCGCTGGCTTTTATTCAAATATTGCGGGATAACTGAGGCTGTTGGCAAGTTGTGGCATTCATAGAGCCACCAGACTGGTTCACCAACACCTTAATACAAGATCTTTGACGCGAGCATAGTAGAACCCGCGGACACACACATTGCGCCTTTGAGCATAGAAACCTTGGTGTCCTGGTCAGATATCGTACTTGATAGCGGTAATGCGGAAGCAAGAAACTGGATATCCGACTGAAATGGCTGGTTCCCCCAGGGCCCAGAAGACTCACTACAGTTAGCCCAACAAGTGCCATGGTACGCTTCATGAAATCTAGTATTCCATTTAATCTTTGGACGGCCTATCAGTTACAATTGCCTTCAAAATCTTTTCTGCGCCGCCATCTATGAGCCTCGCGGCAAGGTCCCGCCCCAATTGCGAGGCTTGATCATTCGTCAGCAACATAGCGTCTATACTGCGCTCAACACACTCAGTGCCATCGAGACTGACAACAATGGCCTTCATCCGCAGTACCTGATGCTCAGATTGTCCAATCCACTCCGTTTCCACACCAATGGGAACGCTGCAGCCGCCCTCCAGAGCACGCAGCAGAGCGCGCTCGGCAAGGGAAGCAAGCGTCGATTTCCGGTCCCCCAGCTGATTGACAAATTGGAGCGTTTTGCTGTCCCCCTTTCGGATTTCCAGACCAAGAGCGCCCTGGCCGACTGCGTGCAGAATCCCGCCATCCTTGGAGCCGAGGTACTGGCTGATGCGGCTCTTGAGACCGACACGCTCGAGGCCCGCGGCTGACATGATCATGCATGTATATTCACTTTCGGGGTCTTCAACCTTGGCTAGGCGAGTATCCACGTTCCCGCGCAGGTTGGAAAATCGTAGGTGCGGGTAAAGGCGGCGAAGCTGCGCTGAATGGCGCACTGATGACGTGCCAACGACGGCGCCTGGAGGAAGTGTCTGTAGGCTGGTGTAGGCAAGGCCGGCCTTGACTACCAGAGCATCACGGGGGTCATCTCGGAGAGGAATGTCTGTCTGCTAGGTCACACGAGTCGGGAATGGACGTTGGCATATCTGGTCGGCGTTAGCTCTGGGCAGAGATGGAACGGCAGAGCTTCGTACCTTTGAGACAACGCACGACAACGTCCATTGGCCCGATGTCAGTTTCTCTTCCGCTCGGCTGTCCATAGGCTTTTTTGTCCAAAGTCGTAGAGAGCCGTAGACTTGTCCTTGTCGCCTAAAGTGTGCAGTGCCTCGATCTCGAATGTCCGGCTGGGTAAGAGCTTTTGCAGACTGTCCCGGATGCCTTCTGTCTGGACCACGGCCAGTTTTGATCTGCGAGTGACGAGGCGCAGCGGTTGCTGTGTATTAATCGAAGTTGGAGACATGATTGGAGTTCCGAGTCAATGATAATGAATAATGACTAGAGGAAGTCTTGAAATGTTGTGACGAGATGAGGAAGGATGTTTGAAGGCGGTGGATCGTCAGCACCGACTTGACGACACCATGGTGCATGTCGTTCAGCATTGTGGGGCGTAAGCGGCCGCCTGAGATGCATGTGAGATGTATGTCCTAGACTAGGAAGCAAGTATCTGCAGAGGGAAAAAGAAGAAAAATTGGGCGAGAAATGGGGAACTGGTTTCGTGCACAGTAGGGGTTACAAATGGCGATCTATTCGACCAGAAAATCGTTGCGAGCACCACCAGCGGCTTAGACAGCCCTTCCCCCCAAATACCGTAGCCAAATAAAAGTGCAACTTCGTTGGACAACAACGAGTTCTCCGAAGGGGATTTATTATTGTCCATCAGCCCATGACGAGCAAACCCAATGGCCATAGCCTCCACGTAGGTATCGGTTAGCCGGAGGCCCGAAGCTTTTAAACCAACGCAGAGACGTCTCTAGTCCCTGACGGAACGAGTGCCGAATTCTCTCTATTTTTCAGTATACCGAATCAAGTTGACCAAATTCAAATCTGAAAGCAAGACCCGCACGGAGGAGGCTTGCTTTGTTTGTCACGATGAAGTTGCTGCCGCAATATCGTCAGGGTGCACGAAGAAGGCGATGCCAATAATGACATACCTGCACGGCAGTTAGAAGAGCATACAACAATCAAGACGGGGTATAAACGGCATCACCTACGTGCCCACCAGCAACAAGCCCTCGAAATAATTCGTCGACCCATCGTGCACGATGCAGTTGACAACCAGGGTCGACATTGTCAACACGATGGTCTCAAACGTGTCGAACTGCAGCGACATGGGCTTGCCCATGATCCAGCCAACCACGATGAGAAAGGGCGTGACAAAGAGCGAGATCTGCAGCGTCGCCCCGACAATGACGGAAACGGCGAGATTCACGCGATCGGACCTCGACCACTGGACTGTCCCTACCAAGCACCCTGCGTTGCCGACAATCGGCACAATGATCAAGCCGATGAAGCTTCTGCTCACCCCCAGCGCTTCGACAAAGCCGTCGACACTATCGACGAGCGCATCAGAGCAGAAGGAAACGCCGAGGGTGGCGAGGACGAGGATGATACTGCTGGATAGGCCGTGAAGCTTGTTCTCTGGCTCGTCTTCCTCCTCGCTGAACAGGTCTGCGTGCGTGACCGACTGGAAGTACAGGTATATGAGGTAAAATAAGAGCAGTATGACGGCGGTGATGCGTGACAGAAGCAAAACATGCTCGCTCGGATGGTCGCTGGAGCCGCTCTGGTTTGGGTCGGCCATGTGCAGTGCCGAGGGCATGATGAGCGATACGCAGGATATGATCATGAGGGACGTCAGAACTCCGGCGACGTCGATGTTGATGTCGACTGATTTCTTCCCCAGGCCAGATAGTAGGAAACACGTTCCAAGAATCTATTCGACCTTGATGAGCAGAGTGACTGGGGTTGAAGGGTAAGAGTCCGACTGACCAACAGGATAGAGGACAGAATACTTCCAATCATGCTTGACTGGACGATGGATATTTCGTCCTCTCTCAAGGCACTTATTCCAACCTGTGGGAGGGGTGAGCAACATGGCGTTTTTGCGTTGACGCGGGTTCCGAAGCCATCATACAATCATTTCTACTGCATTGCCAAACGTGGCATTGATCAGGCCGCCGGCTACAGAACCAACAATGGCAGCCAACTGCTCGGTTCCGAATGTGAGGATAGAAGCCAGCGGCAACATGGCCAGAAAGTTGAGAACGAAGACGGCGGCCGGCGGCCATCCCCATGAGCCGGCCATGAGGCCCAGAGGGACGCAGGGAAGCAGCACGTTGGAATAGCTGCACGTCAAGGCTGCCATCATGGCGTGCGTTCCCTCTCTACGTGCGCTATGCAGTAGGCCTTTTCGACGTGTAGCCTGGGCATTTTGCGGATTGGCAAGCAGCGGCCTCCTCTCGTCGTCCCTCGGGCTTTGGGTCTCTGGACTCATGATGATGCTTGACGCGTGTTTCGATTGTTCCAGAGAGACCACGCCCGTTCTTGCTTGGACAAGGCAAAGGGTCCTGCCAGTCCATTCATCTCCAACCTCACGGTGGAGCCGTCATCAATTGATACGCCCCAAGCGTGCAGTGGCTATGCAAAAGTTGCCAGGGTTGCTGGATGAAACGGCACCTTTTGGCTGCAGCCACCCAGCGTCTGTGAGTTGGTCAGCCGGGGCCAAGAATACAGTGTCTCACAAACGCGGTCAGGTTCCGTGACGGTGTGCAGGTCGACGGATTGCTTTCGATCATTGAGCATGTCGCCCCGCCGCACGATGTCACAGCAGGGTACCATTTTGAACGTCAGACTGGTCGTCGAGCCGGCGGGCCGTGGTCTTGAGGCTCCATCTCAATCCCTCCGTAAACGCTTGAGAACTTGTTCTTTCGTCTCTGGGGACAGCTGGATAGAGTCAAAACTTCAAAAATGCCCGGCGCCGATAGCCAGCCGCAGCTCGCAGCAAGCATTCGAGCTCGACGACGTGCCATGGCTGAAGGCAGGGCCGCCTCGGATGATCCCGAGGTGCCTGAAAGAGAAGCGTCGATACCGCCCGTCTCCAGGACGCAATCCATGTTTCTGCGAATGCGGACAGACACTTACTACCAAGACGTCGGAACTCTGTTGCACGAGCTCTACTCCAGCCCGACCAAGGTGCTCCTGGTGTTTGCTCCCGTCGGGATCATTGCGGGATTTCTGCGCCTTCACCCAGTCGTCATCTTTGCCTTGAACCTTGTCGCCCTCGTGCCTCTCTCCGCCCTGATTCTCTACTCCGTTCTGGTATTTACGGCGGATTATGCCCTGCTTGGCGGACTGCTGCGCGCCGTGTTTGGAAACGCTACAGAACTTGCGGTACGGACCCGAAGAACCTGGCAGCGTGATTTCGTCGAATTGACTGAACTGCGTTTTCTAGCTCGGCATATGCGCTTTGCTGCGGGGCAAAGCGCAGCTCGCTCAATGGATCATGATTGGGAGTATTTTGACATATTGTCTCTTTGTGCGACTCCCACCAGAGCCTACTCTGTTTTCGTATCAAACTTGCGGGCTGACCAAGGAGCGTTGCGTAGGTGCTTGGCTTCAGCTTTCTCGTGGCTAGCTATGGGAAGAAGAAGGAGCCCTTCAGCAGGACCCGGACATCGATCATGTCATCCCTCGTCATGAGCGGCTCGATCTGCCTCGCAATCCCGACAGTGATTGCCATGGCGGTGGAGGAAAAGCACCACGCTGGCAAGGTCAACAAGGACCCTCTGTTTCTATCGCGCGCAACGTCCCTCGTCCAAATGTTTCTGTTCCTAGCATACCTCGTGTTTCGCTTTCGAACTCATAATCGAATCTTTCCCCGGAACCCCAACGGCCCTCATCTGAGCCGTACCAGTACTGGTCTCTCATCTGGATCCGGGTCGAGCCGTGGATCCCGTCACTCTCATGTGGACATGATCCTCGTGAGTCTAGGGGCTCTCACATTCACCGCCTTGTGTAGCTATTACTTGGTGGGCAGCTTGGCTGGAGCTACCAAGGCTCTGGGCGTATCCGAGTCCTTTACCGCGTTGGTCGTGGTGCCACAGGCCGGTAGTTTGATGAAGGCGGTTACCATCATCAAGCACACTCGGTCGAGCGCCGATGCGTTACCGAGCGGCATGGGCCGTCTTGACTTTGCAATCCGTTCCATCATGACCAATGTTTTCGACACGGAGCTCTTCATCCTCCCTATGCTGGTCCTGCTTGGCTGGGCCGTGGGCGAGCCTATGAAGCTAAGTTTTGGACTTTTCGAAGCCGTGATATTCTTGATGGCCATCCTGACCATGACGTACCTGGTACAGCATGGCAAAACAACTTATTTCGAAGGAATCATGCTCATGGGGACGTATGTGTACTTTTGCAATAAGCCACTCACGCCTGCTGCCGGAGCCTTGCTAACATTGAAACGTCCACTAGGTACCTATCTATTGCCATTGCATTATACGTCCGGCCCGATGTTACAAAAACCAGCCCGTCTGCCTTTGGGATTAGTCGTTTTTGAACGTCATGAAGATTCGTGGCATGTATCGGGAGCAGAGGCAGTCATGTGAAATAAGCCGCCATGATGACAATGTAGCTATAGAACTGAGATTAGTAATATCCCTGTTTAGCAGAAAAGCCAGGTACATCTTACACTGATATGAGCAGTGTTCCGTGCAAAAAAGTGTAGTGCTTGTCCTGGAGCACTTGGTTGACCATGATGACTGCCAAGAGCAGAATGTAGGTTTGCGACGGCTCAAAGTAGAGATCCATGGGCAGACGCAGCATCCATCCCAAGACTACCAGCAGTGGCAAAACAAACAGCGATATCTGCAGGATACTGCCGATAATGACGCCAATGGCAAAGTCAATCTTTTGATTCCTCGACGCGGCCACCACCTGCGCCAATTCCGACGCGTTGCTAGCAAGCGGCATGATGATGATGGCGATGAAGGTTTTGGAGATATTCCAGGCCCGAGAGGTGCCGTTCAGGGAGTCCATAAAGTTTGTCGTGCATTTGGCAATGAGAAGCCCGGACACGACCAGCGTCAGCGCAGCGACAGAAATGTCGGACATGGAGGGCCTGTCCGTCTGCGGAACCTCCTCGGCAGCAGCAGCCTGGCATTGAGGCAACGAGGACTGGAAGACGTCTTCGTCTTCTTCCCTGTTTTCTTCGTCCTCGTCGTCTTCATCTACAAAAATGGACGAGTGCGTCCTGAGTTGAAAGTACAGGTAGGCGACGTAGACGCAGAGAAGCACGATCGCGGTGGCGCGACTAAAGTTGAGCACCATTCGGCGGAGGTCCCTCTCGCCGCCAGACTTGGAAGCAAACGTCGAGTACAGCGCTGCCGGGAGGACAAGCGCCACGGTGGTGATGATCATGAGGGTGGACAGGGTGTCGGCAACGGCCGAGTTGACGTTCAGCACGCCGGTGCCGCGGGCCGCCGTGATGAAGCAGCAGCCTTGGACCTGCGGTCATTAGAACACGGATCAGGGAGGAAAACGGTCGAGTTTGACGTACCAAGAGAATGTCGGAGAGGATGCTGCCAATCATCATGGACTGTGCGAGGCGCGGCTCATGGCGAAGGATGGCGAGGATGCCCACCTGTCGTGAATTAGCTGCGACGCCTGTCACAAGCCATTTGACGGGCTGCGTGTACTCACAATCAGCTCGACCGTGTTTCCAAACGTCGCGTTGATCAGCCCGCCTATCAAGCTGCCCCATCTGTTGCCTATGGTGTCGGAGGCATCGGACAGACGAGCCGACAGAGGCATGATGGCGACGACATTGCTCAGCGTGACGAGCGTGTCTGGCCATTTTGCCCAGTGTGCCGTGAAGCCCAGCGGGACAAACACCAGCAACAAGTCGACGTGGAAGAGCCGCTTCAGCGTGCTCATGGCCGCCTGCCGGATTGTCGATAGGGGCTGCGGCCGGTTGCTGGTATCCATTTTGAATTATGGCTTGGCGATTTGTGCCAATGTATCAAAAATCTGGGAAAGCTCAGTTCCCGTCGGGCAAAACCTGTGAGAGGCCCTTTGGCATAGGGTGGCCGCTCACTTGCTTGACGGGAATCAGTCGGGCCAAGCCTGGCAATTCAGTCACCGGCACAGGTGGGCCATGCTCTTCAGATGACCATCCTTGTCTCATCGGCAGGTCTAAGCCACTGTCGGCCCAGGCAGCATGACGCCTGTTATTGGGAAGCTGAGCTGAGCTGTTTTGTCAAGGGACCAGTTGACATTCTTGTCCGTGAAAGAACATGAGGTACTCCGTATTCCAGGGGGTTTTCCGCGAGTTACATTGCTGAGGTGCGAAAATGCTAAATTATGGATAGCTCGCGCCGGCGTTGGTTTCGCCCGACTCACTCGGTTCCAAAGCCGCACCTATTGCCGTGATGAATCCATGAGGTCAATACAGATGTAATAGAAGGCGGCAAAGGGGGGCTTTGACTTGCGCCACCCCGCGTATTAAGCTCTACACTACTCCGTATGCCGTACTCTGTCCTGTGACCCATGATCGTGTTGCCTGCCTACTAGGTAGACAAGCTTACATGTATCTTGCCAGAGATTGTCCGCGGTAACGTAACCACCGTCTGTTGTCCTGTGAGCCACCTTGGCTTCCTCGATGTTCTAGCAGCCCGTCAGTCCCCACACTTGCCGAAGTATGGGTTGTAACCCGTTCAGATGCTGTCAAGTCGCCCTCATCATGCTCATCATACAATACGTGTTTTGTGGGGCCAGATTGGGCCGGAAGTTGTCAGCCACAAACGAAACTGGGTGCATTACGGAGTAGTTACCTGCTATTAGATCAGCTACAGGCCTTGTGCCGTGTTGCCGAAAAAAAAAAAAGAAAATGCCCCAGGCGTGTTGTAAATGACGGCTGGGGGGGGGGTTGTCGGGTGAAACCATCATGGATGACTCGCAGCTCTGTTCCTGCTGCCGAGGCGGTTGTGGGACGATGCGACCTTGCCAGACTGCATCTTCTATACCGTCATTCCTGGCATTCTCGACGGTGGGCTTATCGACTTCACGGCAGCCATGTTCACAGTTCCGCAGGCTAGGACAAGCCACGGCGCCCCGTCATTTGACTTGGCCATGGGACATCTGGAACATTGAAGCGCTTGATGTTCACATGCAGACTGGAGTCACTAGTGTCTTGTCCACGAGCCGGGCGGCTAACCCCTCGTCTCTAGTACTCCATACTTTAGCTTCCGCGCTTCCGTCCTTCTTTTATACCTAACCGATCGCTCCCTTGATAGTTTTGGACTTCGTCACGCCACCCCCAGCACCTTGGAGAAGATGCGCGAGCGCTGCCCCTGTCCTCGCCTCTGCGCAATCAGCCGCCCGTCAATCCAATAAAGAGCCGGGTGTCCTCGGATAAATCGCCGTCGCAGGCTCTGTTTCCGTCTCCAACACCTTGGGTAGTTGGCAGATGCGTAGCCGCCTCGACCTACCAAAGCAGTGAAATGTTGCCCTCGGCCAGCAGCCATGGCGAGGAATCACCAGAGCCCCAGTATCCGGCACGGAACAGAGCTCCTACAATAACAATACATCCTGCTGTAAGTTTTACGTGCGGCTCGTGTTCCATCATTCCATCATATGACATCTAAAGCTCTACCAGGACGAGGTCATTGCTCAAAACAGCCATCTGCAAGATCCCTTTGTGCCACCACATCATACGGATCGCCGGAATCGCGGCTGTCTACTTGCCTCGTCTTCCGGCAGGACACCTGATCGTCAAACAGCTCTTCAGATACCCATTATAGATTGCGCAGATGCAGACCAGGACAACACATCAGCCACGACAATCTCCCCCGTCTTCTCCGCCATGAGGTCCTACTCTGCCTCCTCTTGCAGCACGTTCGCGGCCCACGGCAGGTCGTGTAGTCGTCGCCCGTCCCATTCTAGCACGTGCGATGCGCCGTTTCTTTTGTCGCCAAAGGCTCTAGCCGAGACCATTGCTTCCAAGAGCATCGCTGAGCTCGAGGCCCTCGGCGGACTCGATGGCCTAGCTCAAGGTTTGCAAACTGACTTGTACGCTGGCCTGTGTGAGGACCTGCAATCGCTTCATGCTGGCGGCCCGTCACTGGATCAAGACATACACGGGCCACATCAATATAGAGTAGAGGTGTATGGTGTCAACAAGATACCACCAAAGAAGACAAAGGGCATCCTCGAGCTGATGATGCTTGCGTTGAGCGACAAGGTCCTGGTTCTGCTGTGTGTTGTCGCAGGCATATCATTGTTGATCGGGGTGTACCAGACTCTGTTCCAACCACATCTGCCAGGGCAGCCAAGGATTGAGTGGATGGACAGCCTGACCATCATGGCGGCCGTTCTCATCGTTGTAGTCACGGGGGCAGTCAACGACTACCAAAAGGAGAAGCAATTTGCCCGTCTCGTCAAAAAGGTACGTACATCATCGCTGCCCTTTTGCCCCTCGGTAATGCGTGTCTTGTTCCATAGCCGACGGCGCAACAAATGGCCAGGCACAATTTCTGACCATACCTTAGACCGAAGACCGGGTTGTGGAAGCGGTACGTTCTGGAAAGAGTACAGAAATATCCGTTTTCGACATACTCGTTGGCGATATTCTCCACGTCTCGGCCGGCAGTGTGATCCCGGCCGATGGCGTGCTAGTGACGGGATTTTCAGTTCGATGCGACGAGTCGTCCATCACCGGTGAATCGGATCACATTACCAAAACGCCCTTGAACACGGCGCTATCAAGACTGGACGTTGGCGAGGCCGCCAAGGATATAGATCCATTCATGATCTCCGGTAGCAAAGTCTTGAAAGGAACGGGCACCTACTTGGTCACCGGAGTTGGAGTTAATAGCATGTATGGCCGACTCAAGATGGACGTTACCGAGAGAACGGAAGCTACTCCGTTGCAAAAGAAGCTGAGTGATATAGCAGACAGAATAGCTGTGGCCGGCGTGACCGTCTCTGTTTTGTTATTTGCAGTCCTTGGGATCGAAATCCTCGTTCAACTACCTGGCTCTGATCGGACCTTTGTTGAGCTTGTGCAAATATTCCTCAGGATGTTCATGGTATCAATAAGCATCATTGTTGTTGCCGTCCCTGAAGGCCTGCCGCTAGCCGTAACTCTTGCTCTCGCAATCGGGGTGACAAGAATGCTCAAGGACAACAATCTGGTCAGAGTTCTCTCGGCGTGTGAAACGATGGGTAACGCGACCGTGGTTTGCTCCGACAAAACTGGAACACTTACAATGAACAAAATGGCTGTTGCCGCTGGCTGTGTTGGATTGGATGGCTCGTTTGATGACCTGGGACACCATGTAACGGAGGTTAATCCGAGTTCTCGAAATGAGGGAGGTGAACCGTGCTGCTCGGGTCCAGAGAATACGTCGTCGCTTGTAAGATTCCGGTCGTCGGTCGATCCGCTAGTTCGAGATGTCTACATGCAGTCAATCTCTATGAACACCACAGCCTCAGAGGGGGTGGTAGATGGGCTATCGACCTTTATTGGAGCCAGCACTGAAGTCGCGCTTCTCACCTTTGCAAGGACGTGGCTGGGTATGCGGCCATTGCAAGAAGAGCGGGCAAACACGCAGATTGTACAGGCCTGTCCGTTCGACTCTAGGAGAAAGTACATGGCTACTGTGGCCCTACAAGCGAATGGCCTGCACCGATTGTACTTGAAAGGTGCTCCCGAAGTCATCTTACGAAACTGCGACCGAGTCTTGTATAATGCAACCCTACCGTTAGCGGAGGATGCAACGCTCACCCCTGGACGCCACCAGTCGCTTCTTCAAATCGTTGACTCCTATGGAAAGCTATCACTGCGAACAATCGGATTCGCCTACAAGGATATTGTCTGCTGGCCGCCAACAAGTACATCGAGCGAGGATGAGATGTGGCAGCAACTTCTCACCGGCATGACCTTCCTGGGAACACTAGCGATTCATGATCCTCTCAGACCCGAAGTTACCGATGCCATAGCGCAATGTGCCCAAGCAGGAGTGTCGGTTAGAATGGTTACGGGTGATAATATCCAAACCGCGCGAGCGATTGCGCGAGAGTGCGGTATTTTAACTGATTCCGGGGTTGCCATGGAAGGGTCTCAATTCAGAAACCTGTCTGCATCCCAGATGTACGACCTTCTCCCCAATCTACAGGTTCTTGCTCGATCTAGCCCCGAGGACAAGAAGACAGTTGTCCAGCGACTCAAAGAGCTGGGTGAGACCGTGGCCGTCACTGGAGATGGGACCAATGACGGGCCGGCGCTGCGGACGGCAGACGTGGGCTTCTCGATGGGCATATCCGGCACAGACGTCGCCAAGGAAGCATCATCCATAGTTCTCATGGACGATAATTTTTCTTCCATTGTAAGCGCCATTGAGTGGGGGAGGAGTATTAACGACGTGGTGAAGAAGTTCCTCCATGTAGGTTGCAGACCTCGCCACGACGATCAAGATGGTGCAAGCTAATCGGCTTGAGTAGTTTCAACTCACGGCAAACATCACTGCCGTCACGCTCACATTCGTATCATCCGTGTCCAGCGGCACAGGCGAATCCATCATATCGCCCGCCCAACTGCTTTGGATCAACCTGATTATGGACACTCTAGCAGCGCTGGCGCTTGCGACTGACCCGGCAAATCCTTCTGTCCTACAGCGCGCCCCGGATACCAAAGCCACGCCGCTGATATCCATTACCGGGTGGAAGATGATTATCGGACAGGCACTATACCAACTGCTCGTGATGTTCGTACTCGATTTCAAAGGGGCCGATCTTCTGAAGCTCGTGAGGTCAGACGAGGCGGCTACATTGGAGACATTTGTGTTCAATACCTTTGTATGGATGCAGCTATTCAACTTATACAAGTGAGTCATTGAATGCACTTTATAACAAGCAGATAGCAGTACTAATAAACCTGCAGTAACCGCCGTTTAGACAACAATCTCAACGTTTTTGAGGGCCTGCACAAAAATGTCTACTTCATTGTTGTCAACATCGTCATCATCCTGGGCCAGGTTCTCATTGTGACTATCGGTGGAATCGCGCGCTCAACAACGTCGCTTTCGATCAAGGAATGGATTTTTTCGATATTGCTTGGCGCGCTGTGTATGCCTGTTGCCGTCTTGCTTCGACTTCTTCCCGATGACGCGGTTGCAAGTGCATTCAGGCTACCACGGTCGTGGCAAACATGGTTCCGCAAACGATCGCCCTCGACGACACCGAGCAACGCAACGTGGCTTTCGACAGTTGACCACATCCGCTGCGAACTAGTTACGTGTACGCAACCACGAAGTTCCCGGCTACGGCGCCTGATTCGTGCCTCGTCGAGGGGCTGGGGGTGGACCAGTTCTGAAGGCAATGCCGAAAGAGGCCATTCTGATAATGAGAGAACGCCGCTACTTCAAAATCGAGATGCCGATGTGATTGGTAGTAGAAGAGGCTCGGTGTGTGCCCCGTCGGTGGTCATGGTTGGCATGGTGGCCGGCGGAGTTGGGGGATTGCCTCGTGTTGAACCTCATCATGACGGGTAGACATGTTGGTGGGTGTAGGCTTGCTTCAAAATATACCATTTCGTTTTTTGTAAATCATGTCTGTACTAGCTACCTTGTCCCGTATTCGTGGGCAAAATATCTTGCTGAATACGTGGCTTACCGGATCGAGGGCCGATTTGACTCGGCGGGGCAGGCAAACCCAACAAGCAGAAGATTATATGACTATTATAACTACCATGTTGAACCGAAACTGGTTATTTGTTTGTCTACCTGGAATACATTGTAGAATTAAGCAATGCACAATAAGTCCCAGATCCAGAGCTCGGGCGCTTTTATGAGTAGGTCCGAATTTTCATTAAAAATTTCACAAAAAAGTCACCTTTCCTAAATTAATATGTGGAACCCTCATAAATTTAAGCAAACTTACATAAATCTAAGAATCGGACTAAACCTTCTTATAAGTTACAATAATGTACCGCGCTAGCTAGGGCCGCGTAGATGCCTGTAAAAGGCTTAAATGCCAAGATAAGTCCGAAAAAATGCGTTTTCAGACCTTTGAAAAAGGAGCCAGTCGAGTTGGCTCTAAAAATGCATTTGGGACCTACTTGATGTGTTCTGACCAAAAATAACGAGTATTTATGAGAGTATAAGCGTGTTTTTCGTGGTAATAATGATAATGGTAATAATGGTAATAATGATAATGATGATGATGATGATGATGATGATGATAAAAATGATAATTGATGATAACGATATCATTATAACCCTAACCCTAAGGGAATTTTGGAAAGGAGAAGAGGTCCGGTCTGAATGTCAACCTAAAAAGCGGTACATGTTTAAATCCCCACTGTGGGTCAGTTGCCGATTGTATCTTTGCGGACTTTTCCACGAGTAAATTCTATGCTGCGCCATTATAAAGATGTCGTGCTCCAATTTCTGGGAATTTAGTACCAGTTTACCCCTTATATTCTGTTGCGATGCACCAACCACGTCTGCTTCATACCCTTCTACTATTGGTAGTATGCGGCATGAAGGGGCGTAGTGGAACAATAAAGGCATAGAAACTCTGTGAGGTGGTTTCCGCAAGTAGCAAGTCTTTATACGAACACACGGCTACCCTGGGTATCTGGAGTCCAGAGACCGAGAATATACAAATTATGTGGATCGTTTATAATACTGAACCAGAACGGCAGACCAGCCAGTAGGTGCCAACACATTCATGGTCATGCTCGAATCCACAATTAACTTGGAGCCTCGACTCATGTTCTGTTGCACTGTGAGTATTTGGAACAAGGCCGCCCATCATGTCTCTTTCCGTAACTGAGCATGCCAGACACACGATCTACGGGCTGGAGAGAGTCCAGCCAACGTGCACAAGACTCGTCATTTGAATCCAACCATGGCTCGTTTCCCAACCCCTATTGTGACGAGGGCAGGTTAACTGGGCGTGGAACAGAGGGTTCAATTCAGTCTCAAAAATCGACTTTAAGGTATTAAAGGTCCTTGGTATTCCAAGAGGCCTTAAGGGAGATTAAAAGGTCTCTATAAATTCAAAAAATCGGTGTGTGTGTGTGTGTGTGTTTGAGGCCATAGTCAGCCCTCGCTTAGGTCCGGCTTCGGGCCTCGTGATATTTTCTTTGTTGCTGTGTAACCGTTGTTGGCCCAGCCCCCTTTGTTGTGGACTTCAATCACCCTCCCGATTATTTGTCGTATTCACTAAAAAACTACATTCAACTCATGAGTACCTCGACATCAACGGCAGCCACTACCGTTGGTAACTAAATAATTTTTAAACACCTCCTTGACATACCGCCCTGACTGGAAGACTCGGCCGATCTAAACGATTTAGGAAACCATGGAACCTGTCTTGATAAAGACGAGGTAGTCCGACCTCAAAGATGGCTGTAAAAAGCCGCTTTGTAATAATTTTAAACGACTTATCAAGATGACCAACTTGAAGCATAGCTTGCTGGCTTCCAACGCATGGCGGATTGTCCTGAAAATGACATCTTCCATGGTCATGTCCGAAGCCTCATTGCCTGAACACACTGTAAAAACCACCGCCCAGTCGACGCTCTTGGGGCCTTGTGAGAATACAAGTCAAAACGTCAGCTCGCCTATTCCGACTCGTTCTTGTCCTCGGTTTACAGCGAAACAGCTCCCAGCAGTTCACTTTACTCTCTCTCCGTCGTCAACCGGGCGACTGCTTGCAGCTCTATTATCGAGAGGTACCCGGATAACAAGCTGGGTTTGAGTCACAACTGCAAGGATACTATTTCGGAGGAAATGAGCATCTCGCTATTATTCTGGTATTCCGAGGACCGCAGACGATCCGAACGGCAATCCAATCCTAAGGCCCTAGAGCTACCTACATTGCGTCTGACTTCTTGAGTCGCTCCATACACAAGGCTATACGCCACGACTTTGCCGATTCCAGACGCGTTGGGCTGTCATAACATCATGTCCCTTACTTGTTTTGCCAGTTCACGAAATTGTGAACTGAGAAGAATAAACAAGTAAGAATGTCCCAGCAATAAAGAAGCAAGAAAAGATTGGCATTCTTGAATAGTCCCTAGTAGATGTCCTTTCACTGCTTCATAAATCAAATTTACCGAGAACATCCGGATCAAGAGTCGTTTTAATATACGTTAAAGCCTATCAATCTTCTGGAAACTTGAAGAATATAGAGCGGGCCAAAAAGGGCGCCAATGTGGTTCTCGCCTAGATTTCTCTCGGCAATGGGCAAGCCGAGTGACATCAGTTTCTCTGCCGCGTCAAAATCGCCGATACCGCACTTCATTATTGAGTCATTGGCCATTACTAGAAGTGTTTGCGGATCTTCTTTTCCAAGCTTAGTCTTACGGGGTTCAAGGACATGGTTCATCAAACCGTCGGCCATTTTGTAAATATTTTCCGCCAAGCAGAACTAGGATCCTGCATAAGCTTTCCTTGGCGGCCAAGTCTTTGCATGCTCAGCCCCATGTATCTTGGTCATTCCTTCAATTGCCTCGGTATGAAGTTGACGAGACTCTTCAATGCTGTCGCGTGTCCAGAACTTGGAGACGGTTCGGCCAAGGTTGTCGGTTGCCTCAAGCGTATCGGGATGCTCTGTTGTCAATTGCACCCTCATGGTAGCAACAGCCGTTCTTTGCAAATCGAGAGCTGCAGTGTATTGCCCTTGTTGCCAGAGCGTTCCTTCTAGTTTGCTCATCACCCTCAATGTATCAGGATGGTTCTTGCCCAGGAAGTCTGAGCAGGTGTTGAGTAATGCTTCTTGCAAATTTGCTGGTTCGATAGACCGATCCACGTACACAAGCACATCAGAGAGGAAAAGAGTCGCCCTCCTTGACTGGGCATCGTGGGCGCCCAGGAGGGAATCGCAAATAGTCTTCGAGAATTAGCTCGCTTTATCCCACTTGGCACAAGTAGCATGGATAAAGGCAAACTTTGAGTATTTACTGTAGATGCAGCGTTCAATCAAGAAGTCCAAGATGGCTCCTTCTTCGCTACACTGTCTCACACTGTCTCATAGGTCGTCGCGACAAAGCTTGACCTGCTAACGTGGGCAAGCATACTGATGTGGTATTTTTTCGAAACTTCTAGCGGTGACAGAAGGATAGAGGAAGCAAGAACAATGCTAGCAACATCGGCCCAGGGTACCTGGTGAGCAAGCTTCAATCTGGGCCGTTCTCTAGCATAAATGTGGATGACTGGATGCATAACATATGTATCATTGTGAGAGTTTCGCTCCATCAGAAATAGATCAGTCAGCTCTCTGCATGCATAAAGAATGCGATCCTCGCACTCTTCGAGGCGTCCAGATTCTGATCATCGCGGAGGAGAAGCGAGATTGGAGGAGGCCCTCTGTTTTTCTTCAAAAAAGTCACGAGGAGAAGACTTGATCCTTTAAACCACTGTTCCCAAGTCGTAATCCATTCTCAGAATCTTTCTGTTGCTGGTCTAACTCAATCTACAAGTTTCGCAAGGCCTTTGAAATATCTCCGGCGAAAGATTTTCTCTGTGGAAAAAGGTAAAGACTTGGAGCAACAGGATAGCATCTTCAGATGGTGCAGGAACGCCGAAAGACTGCCGCAGTAGGCTCTTGGTCTCCTTGAAACCCATCACGCTGACATTATAGAATTCTGGTCCGGTGTTGGCGTGTATTTTCAGCGCCGGATTTCGGGTCGCCATGAGAATGTGTCCAGGTCTTCCCTTGGAAAAATAATTCTCCAAAGGTACTCTCAAGTCATTGGCATTATCGATGATAAGAAGCCATTTCTTGTCTGTTTTTGAGAGCCAATGTAGAGCAGCGTTCGCGTTTCGAGGTAGAAGGGCCAGAGCTGCTATATGTTTAAAGCTGCACATATGTGTCTTTAACTCTCTCTTCAGAGCTAGCGTCGAAAATACCTTGGTTGCTCGACTGGAGGCTAGATCTTCGCACAGAGTCTGCGCTACCAGGAACTGTCAACTAGCTTACATAAGACAGACTCGGTGGCAGTTTGACCGTCACTGTGAAAAAAACAATAGGGCTTTACAGAGGGCTTTTTACGACCTAAGCACAATCTCGGCCCTCTGTTAGATGGTAGATATGCCCATCCAATATCCCTTAGAGAATCACCTTCCCAACGCTCAGGGCGAAATTCCTCGGCGTCCTTGCCGTAGATGTCTTTGCGGCGGTGTATAGCATATACGCAGTACCCAACTCCCTCGCCTGGCCTGACGAGGACCGGAGACTTGCCGTCGGGCCCGCCACCTACAGGCAACGTTGTAAGTCGTATGGCCTCTCTCGAGTTGACAGGTACAGACGGATAAAGACGCAGGACTATTTCCCCATTAGAATCGATGTACGTATTGTGAGCGAAAATAGGAAAGACGGGACTGATCAGGGCGACCACAGCATGCCTTCTTTAATGACCAGTTGGAGATATGACATGCGTCTGAGGTCTTCCCTTGTGGGCGAAGGTGCCAGGCGCTGTACAACAGCCGTGTACCTCTTCTCGATGTTTAGCAATGACACCGCGGAGGCTTCGCCCCCAAGACTACCACGTCGGATGGATCTATATTATTATTTATTATTGAATTATATATATGAAAAGAGGGCTAAATCAAGGACATCTAATAACACTGTATTTTGGCCGTACCTGGGCCAGGGAACCGTAGCTGACAACGCCGATATTAAGTTTATGGAAGTATCAAGGTAAAAAAAAAACAAGCTAGATGAAACGTATATATTTAATTTTATTAAAAAAAGTAAATAAGTTATTTAAAGTCTATTACAAGTATAAAAAGTTGAAAAGTCAAGTAAGTTTTAGTTAAAGATCATGTTAGATTCGCATTAGGATGCGGAGGGTCGTCGAATCTCATTCCGAGGATATATAGATGGTCCAAATATTAGCAAGGATGAATAGTCGCACAGTCACGCCACCCGAAGAATATTTAGAAACACAACAAGTTTAAATCCATTGCATTGATTCATTCCAGTTTCGGTTTCTCTTTCTCATGCCCACGCCAGCCCAACAACAATCAAGAAATAACTTTTTTTGTCCATGACTAAGAGAAGGACAGACTGAGATGGAAATGGCCATTCCCTTATGGTGATGGAATACACTTTAGAAATTCTGCACTAATACAACTTCCAGCGAGGGCAACATCGCAGCAAGTCTTGACGCACGCGGCGCCTTCGGGACAGCCGCCGGAATCTGAGCATGGGGGCCCTACGTCCTGGGGACAGTTGGCACGGTAGACGCAATGGCCCATGGCCGGATTCGATGCGTCTGTGTGGCAGTATCCCCCGCCGTTTATGTCGTTGCACGGGCACTGGGAGCTGTGGTCGGCGCTGCACTGGCTGACGTGGTCCTGACAATTGGGCTTTGGGTGGCATGTTGTGCCAAAACATTGGGAGCTGGCGTCACACTATTGTATCCGCGTTAGGGGCAAGTCTTCGATGTTGTCAACAAACAAGTCTGGTTGGAGTACACCGCACAGCCCGGCGTTGGATCCGCGCCACCGCGGCCACCGCACAGCCCGGCGTTGGATCCGCAGACGCCGCAGTCATAGCATGGCCCTTTGAAGCCTCCTCCAGGGGAAGCTTGGGTCGTGCAACTGTCCGCGTCGGCCCCGGGCCCAAAGGCACTCAGGCACCATTTGGAACACGCGCTGTTGTCGTGTCCGCACGACGGCGGTCGTGCTGCGCCAATGACTACGACTATGGTCGCGCTGGTTAGTTTTGCATCTACTTGACAAGACCAAGACGGGAGTCGGAGCTCTGAAACTAACCAGCCACAGAGGGCAAGAGCACAAGGCGCATGAGCTTGTCCATTCGCTTAGACGGGTAGTCGGGGCAAATGTGGTATATGCAGAGTGTAAAAGGTCATGGTAGTGCAGTCTGTCTGACGAGCCGAATAACTTAAATATTCTTTTGCCTACGCTGATTTGAATTCTCAAGTGGCGCAAAGTCGCAAGACTTACACACGACGCCTGAATCTAACTCGTCTCAGGATATCGGAGCTGTCGGAACAAATACTCCTACGCCACATGGATACCTTTGGCGCTGAGCCAGCCCGTGCCAAAGATTGAACTCTCTTGCCACTTGTTGCGCTCGCCTTCCAAATCTAGTCTTTCAACTTGCCACTATGATGGACGCGACGCGTCGAAGCGAAAGGCCCAGATATAAGAATGATATTGAAGAATTGACCAAGAAGAGGTTGAAATTCGTAGTGCTGCAAGAGCAAAGCGAAATGCCGTCTCGACTCGCAACAAGACCATTTGCCACGTTGTCGAATGGCAGTTCACGGTACGTTTACATCTCCGGTTTGGAGTCTGGTCCGCCACAACCTGCATCACCAAGACCGGGACAATGCCGCCAGACATGTCCCGTAACGGTCCACGAGGCTGGTTCATTGACTCCACTCATGATATCCATCCACTACGACCGTCCGGTAGTGCCACGGCATCGGATCGTGGTTATGTGGCATCGAGGTATCGGGGTTCCGTCAAGGGAGCATCGGCGACTTGACAGCTCGTAGCCACCAATGGCAGCTTGCCGGTGACGACATGGATCCCTCAACTTTGGCTCTCTCATAACTACCAAACTGAGAACCAGGGCATTCGTCCATCAGCTCAGCAATGTACTACCCCCGTCACTCGTCGCCATATTATCCAGTGGCGGCTGCCCGGTACTCGGTGTCGGATGAACTCTCTGACCGCAAAGACTCGGATGAAGCAACAAAATCAGTCAGCTCGAGGCTCAGAGACATGGCCTTTCTATTTCTTTTAAACTAAGAGTTTCGTCTTGATGTCCTTTCTTCCAATGGGGATATTCTTGGCAAGATGATTCCGATAGGTCGGAACTGGTCTGTGTTTGCACGTAGCTTAGTGCGGTCGTGACATTCTTGAAACCTGACGCCCTTGTGTGCTTCATTTTGCTCAAAATGTCCTTAAAAAAGAAAAGGTATTCGTCAGAGACGGCTCAGGTATGTAGTGAAATCCTGTAAAAGTCCGGTTTACCTGACCAGTTGGAAATGCGGCGTGTTCAACAACATGCACCTTCTGTTCCAGTATTCTCGTAACTAAAGTCCAGTATATCAAACGTTTTGATCTCGGTGTTTTCGAGCTCAGATAGTTAGGCATTGATACCGCTATAGGCCTCGGTTCGAACCACCGTGGACTCATGTGTCACTGGCTCTTGCTATCACAGGGCTACGAAACTACCCTACAAACATCGACTATACCCATCATCTCATTGCTATTGCGCCGTGTTGTTACCTTTCGTCGTCGATACCCACCAGATGCGCGGTCCCTACCTACTCAACCACGGCAGCCTCTACTACGAAACTTTCTCACCCTCAGTGTATCTTTCTACCTATTACAATTATATTCATTCCCACTAAAAGCTAGTCATGAGATACTTAAGGGTTCTCTGATCAGTTTCCATATAGTCACGTCTCATTGTCGAGACTATTCCTTTTAAACAGCCTTGGAATAGTCAAAAGTCACCTACCATTGTTTAACCTAGATGCGCCTCCAGTTGCTGCCAGATTTGTCATGTGAAGCGTACCGCCAAGATACTGCTCGAGCACCCGGGGCAACGGTAAGAGTCAACTAGGCTTCAAAATTTGTCGGGCGCCACCTAGAGCTGAGGACTTCGGGCATAGATGTGGCCATCAGAGGGGCTCTATGCGAAGCTCCGAATCGATCTATTGTGCTGGTCAAGAGGATTTTTTCAAGAGAGCCCTGAGCTAAATAGCGTCTTCAGCAGCCTGCCTTTCACCCATGTATTCCGCTTCGGTGGCTGATAGTGCTACTACAGTTCGCCGTGTACTACGATGAGCTGATTTTCTCGTGGTATTGTTTATGGTGATTTTGCTTGTTATCGCACCATTTAGTAGCAGATTAGACTTGGAAATTTGTTCTAATGTTTTGCCGCTCTTTTTCAGGTGCACTAGCTTATCAAAGCAGTGGAAAGTCGTGTCAGGTTTACGGTATTATAGATTTTTCCTAAAAACTGGGTTTTTGGTATTTCCTTTGTAGGGCATATATCACGTTGACAGCTATGGAAGCAGATTGAATAGTGGAATTGTCCTTGGGATTAAAGCTATTTAGGTACGGAAAATAGGCCCTTATTTATAGATATTAAGGTCGTCTAATAGGTCACCTAAAAAGTAATTAATTTAAGGGGTTCTACGGTATTTAGCTATTAAAGATTTGGCTTTAATAGGGTAATAGCGCGAGCCTTCTTTTAAGGCTTTTTATATAATTAAAAAGCAGCTATTTAAGGTATTTTAAGGCTTATTAAGGTCTCTAATAAATAATAGCCTTTTTCTATTAAAAGGGGCCTTTAACGTTAATATACCCCTATAAATTAGGTTAATAGCTCTCTTTTAATAATACTAATAATATTAACGCGCTCTCTGCTCCTAAACTGAGGCGAAGCAGCTTTGATAGTCGGAGAACTTAAAGCGAGTTATGACGTTAACAGCTATGAAAGCAGATTAAATAGTGGAATTATCCTTGGGATTAAAGCTATCTAGGTTCGGAAAATAGGCCCTTATTTATAGATATTAAGGTCGTCTAATAGGTCACCTAAAAAGTAATTAATTTAAGGGGTTCTACGGTATTTAGCTATTAAAGATTTTATAAGTTATTATATTATATTATAAGCTTTAAATAATTTAATTAAAGGTTTAACTATTAGAAAAGCCTAAATATTATAATAGTCTCTTTAGCTATATATATAAAAGCTAATAATTTAGCTTTAGTAAACGATATTATAATTGTATTTTACTTACTAATCGTTTAACTAATAGGTCTATTAAATAGTTAAATTATTAAGCCTTATAATAACTTTTAGGTCTATTAATCGTCTATAAAAGCGGTATTAAAAGCTATTTAAAGCTCTAGGTTATTAGGACTTTTATTAAATTCAATTACTAGGTATCACGTTAAATACTATATAGCGGTATTTATGCTTACAAGTTAAAGAAAGTCGGATAGTGCATTTAATCGTAGCTATATTATTAGTATAAGAGAATAGGCACACGTATAAGTCTTTAATTTAATAAGTTTTTTGCCTTTATAATTAGTTTTATAAGGTCTTTTATTAATATTTTATTAAGTCTTTTAATTGGCCTTATATAAGCCCACGCTACGCAGCTAAATTATCATAAGTTATTATATTATATTATAAGCTTTAAATAATTTAATTAAAGGTTTAACTATTAGATAAAGTTATAAGTATATATATATATATCGCGTATAAGCTAATAAAAATAGTAGTTTTACCAAATATTATAATAGTCTCTTTAGCTATATATATAAAAGCTAATAATTTAGCTTTAGTAAACGATATTATAATTGTATTTTACTTATTTAAATAGGTATAAAGGCCTAATAATATTTACGTTTAAGAGAATATAAAAGGATTATAACTATAATAAAATGAATTAAGATTCGTCTATAAAAGCGGTATTAAAAGCTATTTAAAGCTCTAGGTTATTAGGACTTTTATTAAATTCAATTACTAGGTATCACGTTAAATACTATAATTAAGTAAAGAGAAATTATAATAAAATGAAAATTACTATAATTAGGCTAAAAATAAAGGGTTATCTTAAGGGTCTTTAATTAAAATAAAGATATACTTACCCTTTAAATATTAGTAAACTTATAGTTAAAAAGAAGACTTTTATTAAAATAGCTTAAATTAATTAAAAAAGAACCAAGGACAATTCCACTCTTTTAAATCACTCCATAGCTGTCCATCGTGATAACATTCTATTTATGTTCTTTCAAAAGAGCGTTGCTGGTCGAGTGGCACAAGTCTGCACCTGCAGCCTTGCATGAGATGCTTCCATCGGTATATATGGTCTGGTGTCTCGTAGACATGGAGAGCAGCTTGTAGTCACGGGTCGGAATTCATGTGTCACGTCTACCTGCACTGACACCACTTCTCAGCCGCGACGAATGCTGACTGGCCTTTGTTCCCGTTGCGCCGTACTGCGCCCAACAAGGGACTCGTTGGTCAGACTCCAAACGACGGCAACTTGATTCATGACCAGCTTTCACTGAGACTTCAAGGGGCATCTTTGGTTCCGCTAATAAAACCTCCGGTCGAGGCTATGACTTGAAGCGTTTCGGCAGGTTTTCACTTGTTCTCTTGCGACTCAGCGACTTTGAATTTGGCAACTGTTGACCGACCTAACATATGGCTCCAGCTGATTGACCGGGAATAGACACGAGAGTCACATTCGGCACAGTCC